TAGGGGTTTTTCCCCTTTTTTTCTGGCAACAAAACTGAAACCTTTTTTTACAAGGATTCATGTTACTGCATTAACCACAATACCTGCAGTCAAAATGCAAACAAAAAACATACTATGATAATATATGCATTGTCCTTGAAACTGATTGGTCCACACCAAGGGACGGCTTTCTTTTGAGCCTCGACCCAATTGGTGCTCGACCAGATGACGCCAAAAGGCATTTTGACTGCAGGTGTTGTGGTTAATGCAGACATGAATCCTCGTAAAAAAAGGGTTCAGTTTTGTTGCCAGAAAAAAGGGGAAAACCCCTATTACATTTTGGAACTGGCAAAGGAGGTCTAATGATGAGGATGGGAATGGTTTAGTGTTGTATTTGTATGTGTCTGGGTGATTTGTTGACCTTCTTGCACTTTGCACTACTATCATGTTTTTGTAACTGTGTTGTAACATTCTAACCCCGTGGCCATGCTGGACATTTGTGAAAAAGAGCTTTATAGTTCATTCGTTTCTTAATCCGCTTGTCCTGATGAGGGTCGCGGCAGCAGCATGTTGAGTAGTGGCGGTCCAGACCTCCCTTTCCCTGGCGACAGACTCCAGCACTATACTACACTACTATACACTACTAAACTATACACTACTATACACAGACTCTAGCTCTTCCTGGGGAAAACCCAGGCATTCCCAGGCCAGCCGAGCGACATCGTCCCGCCTGCGTGTCCTAGGCCGGCCCCGGGGTCTTGGCCCAGTGAGACGTGCTGCCCAGTAGAGTTCCCGGGAGAGTCTATCAGGGGGCATCCTTACCGGGTGCCCGAACCACCTCAACTGGCTCCTTTCTATCCGGAGGAGCAGCGGCTTTACTCTGATGCTCTCCCCGATTACCGAGCTCCTCACCCGATCACGGAGAGTGAGCCCGCAACCCTGCAGAGAAACCAAATTTCGGCCCCTTATATAGCCACGATCTCATCCTTTCGGTCATTACCCAAAGCTCATGACCATAGGTGAGGGTGGGAACGTAGACTGACCTGTAAACTGCGAGCTTTGTTCGAGAACTCAGTTCCCGCTTCACTGCCACGGAACGGTACAGTATCCGCAACACTGCGGACGCCGCAACAATCCGCCGGCCGATCTCCCGCTCCCACTTACGATCACTCACGAAAGAGAAAGAGGTACGTACTTAAACGCCTCCACTAAGGGCAGCTGTTCCCCCCTCAACCTGGAGAGAACAATTCACCGTATGCCGTGAGTGAACCGTGATCTCAGATTTGGAGGTGCTGATCCTCATCCCAGCCGCTGCACACTCGGCATCAAACCGTTCAAGTGCACCCTGGAGATCACAGACTGACAGGGCAAAGAGGACGACGTCATCTGCAGAACGCAGCGACGCCCTCTCCATGCCCCCATACTGGATACTCTCCATACCTCGGCTGCGCCTTGGTATCATGTCCATGAAAATCACAAACAGGAGTGGAGACAAGATGCACCCTTGGCGGAGTCCGACACCTACAGTGAACGACTTTGATTTAACACCAAGAATACAGACACAGCTCTAACTCCGGGAATCGAGGGACCGGATAGCAGACAAAAGCGGCACCGGTAGACCATACTCCCACAGCACCTCCCACAAGACATCGCGGGGAACACGGTCATATGCCTTCTCCAAGTCTACAAAGCAGAGGTAGACTGGAGAAGCATACTCCCATGCCCCCTTAAATATCTGTGAGAGGGAAAAGAGCTGGTCCATTGTTCCACAACCATGACGGCATCCGCATTGTTCCTCCTGGATCTCAGACTCGACCACAGGACAAAGCCTTCTCTCCAGAACTCTGGCATAGGCTTTACCTGGGATCCTGAGGCATGTGATCCCCCTGTAGTTGGAGCACACCCTCTAGTCCCCTTTATATAAAAAAAATGGTAACCACGACCACAGTTTGCCAATCCAGAGGTACTGTACCCGCCTTCCATGCAACGTTAAAGAGGCGTGTGAGCCACGACACTCCTACACTGTCCAGTGCTTTCAACAACTATGGGCAAATCCCATCCACCCCAGCACCCCTACCACTACAAAAACCCTTGACTGCCGCAGCAACTTCAGCAAGCGTGATGGGTCTGACCACCCCCCCCCCCCCCCTTTCCCCAGCTGTTTCCAGGCCTGCCTTCTGAGAGGAGGGCATGTCCAGCGAGTTGAGGAGCTCCTCAAAGTGTTCCTTGCATCTCTCGACTATCTCCTTAGTTGAGTTCAATGTCATGCCACCACCCTTATGGAAAACAGCCTGGGCCACATCCCGTCGACCCCTTCTAAGGCGTCGGATGGTTGCCACAACATCTTTGAGGCTGCCCGGTAGTCACTCTCCATGGCCTCTCCGAACTCCTCCCACGCCCCCCGAGGCTTTCACTTCAGCGACTGCTGCAGCTGCCACCCCTCTTGGCAGGCCGGTACCTCTCAATCGAGTTGCGAGACCTTTCTCCAAGCATAACTCAGAAAGCCTCCTTCTTCTTCACCTTGACAGCTTCCCTCACCACTGGTGTACACCAGGGTTACCGCCATGACAGGCCTCAACTACCTTCAGAGGCAATAGATTTTCGCAGCTGCATCCACAATCGAGGTCCTGAACATCGTCAACTCAGACTCAATGTCCATCACCTCCCCTTGAGTGCTGGAAAAAATTTCCCCGGAGGTGGAAGTTGAAATCATTCTGCACTCGGTCTTCCGCCAGATGTTCGCAGAAAACCCACACTCTTCGTTTCGGCCGTCCACGTCTGTCTGGTCGATGCCCCAAGCATCAGATCCAAGTTACCACCAGGTGGTGATGAGTTGAGAGCTCTGCCCCTCTCTTCACCCAAGCGTCCAGAGCAATCATTGACCCTCGCCCTAAGGTGGTCTGGTACCAAGCACACTTATGAGCATCCTTGTGTTAGAACACGGTGTTTGCCATTGACATTCCGTGACTCGCACAGAATTCCAATGACATCTCACTGTTTGGGTTCAGATCGGGGGGGGGGGGGGCATTCATCACAATCACACCTCTGCAGGTATCTCCATTCTTTCCGACTTAAGCATTGAAGTTGCATAGTAAGACTATGGAATCGGTAGGCAGCACGCTATCAAGCACCTCACCCACCATCTTCAAGATGACCGAATACTCTGAACTGCTGTTTGGTGCATAAGAACAGACAACAGTCAGAGTTTTCCTTTCTGAGACCCGAAGTCTCGTTAAGACGACCCTCTCATCCACTGCGACAAACACCTGCCCGGGACCTCTCACCATGGGTTTCTCCGAAATAGTTGAGAGAGACCACCACCGATCGAGAAGTTTGGTTCCAGTGCCAATGATGTGTGCGGAGGTGAGACCGACTATACCTAGTCGGTATCTTTCCACCTCGTCCACGAGCCAGCAGTGTCCATCGCCAAGGTCCAGTCCATCCGAGACCATCCCTCTCCCTTCCACACATCGGCATCGTGAACCCGGCCCCACGGGATGGCGCCACGTGTTCATTTCGGGTTGGGCCCGACCGAATTACGTGGGGGTCACCCGGCCACTGGACACTTGCCGGTGAACACCACCCCCAGGTCTGGCTCCGGGGGTGGGGGGAGAGAGGGAGAGAGGGGGTGTCCCGGTATACCTTGTCTAATGTGTATATTTTTAACCATACCTAAATAAATATTATAATTCTGAGAGGGAGGGGACGGGTGTGGGGAAGTGGGGGGTCATGCGTGGGGTGGTCGTGCATGAAGGAGGTTGGCTACCACCCTCGATGGCGGGGGGTGACGAGAGAGAGAGAGATAGATGAGCAATCGTTTGGAGCGAGACGCAGATGAAGGAGCGGGTCCCCGCTCTTCCCCCATCTCGAATGCCACAAATCTTAAATTAGCAAATCCGCAGCGAGGGGTGGTGGGAGGGGGTTGATCTGACGAACTGGGGGTTCCAAAAAAGGAGGCTGTGCAATCAAAGGTGTCGTCCCAGTTGTTGGGGGTTTTTTTCGTCTTTCCCTCCTTCCCTCCCATCGTTACAAAGCGACGGCCACGGCCGAGAGTCGGTGCCGGTGCTGGGACTCACGGGAGACACAGCGACGGAAAAAACGTGGATGATGATAAGGGGTGAGGGGGCGGCGGAGGGGGGGTGGGGGAGAAACGTGGTTCCCTGATGCACAAAGCAACCTAATGTTCTGAGGGCTTTCGACATTACACACCGAGTTACCCTTGGCACACAAAGGCACGAGCGGAACACAATAGGGCTAATAACACCACAGGAGCCCAGCCAGCCAGCGAGTGAACACGGGGAACGAGAGCCAACCAGCCAGCTGAAGGGAGTGAACACAGTACGGAAGGAAAACAAAACAAAAAAACACAGCAAACCAGTCAGCGAGACAGCACGGTAACACAGCACAGCACGCATCAGCAGAGTGAAGGCCAAGTAAATCACGACACTGAACCCACGTCACAACGGCCAGCCAGACACTGAACACGGTGGGCGAGCGAGAGGGCCGCGCGCGACGGTGGCGACGACGACGACGACGATGACGACGACGAACGCGTTCAGCAGATCGAGCCGGCGAATCCGACGCGGCGACAGAGAAGAGACGGGGAAGGCACAGCGAGAGCACGTGAGCGCCACAGCACACGGGACGCAGGAAACGGAGCCAAGCCAAGGAGCCAGCCAGGCCAGCCAGCCAGCCTGAGTGTGCCCGATGGCACGAGTCGGGTGAGTGTACGTGCCGCAAGCGAGTGCGTGAGGCTGGTGGGCATGGGGGGGGGGGGGGGGCGGGGGGTGGGTGGGGGGGGGTTGTGAGCACCACCGCACACGGGACGCAGTACGGAGCCAGCCAGAGTGTGTGCGATGGCATGAGTCGGGTGAGTGTATGTGCTGCAGCTAGTGCGTGAGGCTGGTGGGCATGGAGGGCGGTGGGGGGGGTCATGGTAAACACGCCAACACATACGCAAGCCTTCCCCAGGCCACGCCGTAAAACGCCCCCCCCCCCTCTCATTGCCCCCCCACCCTCCACCAAGTTTACGATTGGCAATTTAGCACGTAGGTTTGATCCAGGCACTCGTTAATGCAAGCGTGGTATTCGAGGTTAGGCCACGTGTTGATCGCTTTGCATATCATGATTTCGCAACGCACTATGGCGGGAATCTTCAACTCCCAGAGGTGCCCGCCAGAGCGGGCAACTCTGCAGGCATCTTCAACTCCTGAGGATGCCCACAGTGGCAGGCAAATCCTGCAGGCATCTTCAACTCCTGAAGATGCCCACAGTGGCAGGCAAATCCTGCAGGCATCTTCAACTCCTGAGGATGCCCACAGCAGTGGGCAAATCCTGCAGGCATCTTCAACTCCTGAGGATGCCCACAGTAGTGGGCAAATCCTGCAGGCATCTTCAACTCCTGAAGATGCCCACAGTGGCAGGCAAATCCTGCAGGCATCTTCAACTCCTGAGGATGCCCACAGCAGTGGGCAAATCCTGCAGGCATCTTCAACTCCTGAGGATGCCCACAGTAGCGGGCAAATCTTGCAGGCATCTTAAACTCCTGAGGATGCTCACAGTAGCGGGCAAATCCTGCAGGCATCTTCAACTCCTGAGGATGCCTAAGGTCGTGGGAAAATCTTGCAGGCATCTTCAACTCCTGAGGATGCCCACAGATACGGGCAAATCCTGCAGGCATCTTCAACTCCTGAGGATGCCCACAGCAGTGGGCAAATCCTGCAGGCATCTTCAACTCCTGAGGATGCCCACAGTAGCGGGCAAATCCTGCAGGCATCTTCAACTCCTGAGGATGCCTAAGGTCGTGGGAAAATCTTGCAGGCATCTTCAACTCCTGAGGATGCCCACAGATACGGGCAAATCCTGCAGGCATCTTTAACTCCTGAGGATGCCCACAGCAGTGGGCAAATCCTGCAGGCATCTTCAACTCCTGAGGATGCCCACAGTAGCGGGCAAATCCTGCAGGCATCTTCAACTCCTGAGGATGCCAAAAGTAGCGGGCAAAACCCTGCAGGCATCTTCAACTCCTGAGGATGCCCACAGATACGGGCAAATCTTGCAGACATCTTCAACTCCTGAGGATGCCCACAGTAGCGGGCAAATCCTGCAGGCATCTTCAACTCCTGACGATGCCCACAGTAGCGGGCAAATCCTGCAGGCATCTTCAACTCCTGAGGATGCCAAAAGTAGCGGGCAAAACCCTGCAGGCATCTTCAACTCCTGAGGCCCACAGTAGCGGGCAAATCCTGCAGGCATCTTCAACTCCTGAGGATGCCCACAGTGGCGGGCAAATCCTGCAGGCATCTTCAACTCCTGAGGATGCCCACAGCAGTGGGCAAATCCTGCAGGCATCTTCAACTCCTGAGGATGCAAACAGTAGTGGGCAAATCCTGCAGGCACCTTCAACTCCTGAGGATGCCCACAGTAGCGGGCAAATCCTGAAGGCATCTTCAACTCCTGACGATGCCCACAGTAGCAGGCAAATCCTGCAGGCATCTTCAACTCCTGAGGATGCAAACAGTAGTGGGCAAATCCTGCAGGCACCTTCAACTCCTGAGGATGCCCACAGTAGCGGGCAAATCCTGAAGGCATCTTCAACTCCTGACGATGCCCACAGTAGCAGGCAAATCCTGCAGGCATCTTCAACTCCTGAAGATGCACAGTAGCGGGCAAATCCTGCAGGCATCTTCAACTCCTGAGGATGGCAACAGTAGCGGGCAAATCCTGCAGGCATCTTCAACTCCTGAGGATGCCCACAGTGGCGGGCAAATCCTGCAGGCATCTTCAACTCCTGAGGATGCAAACAGTAGTGGGCAAATCTTGCAGGCATCTTCAACTCCTGAGGATGCCCACAGCAGTGGGCAAATCCTGCAGGCATCTTCAACTCCTGACGATGCCCACAGTAGCAGGCAAATCCTGCAGGCATCTTCAACTCCTGAGGATGCCCACAGTAGCAGGCAAATCCTGCAGGCATCTTAAACTCCTGAGGATGCCCACAGTAGCAGGCAAATCCTGCAGGCATCTTCAACTCCTGAAGATGCACAGTAGCGGGCAAATCCTGCAGGCATCTTCAACTCCTGAGGATGCCCACAGTAGCGGGCAAATCCTGCAGGCATCTTCAACTCCTGAGGATGCCTAAGGTCGTGGGAAAATCTTGCAGGCATCTTCAACTCCTAAGGATGCCCGCTGTTGTGGGCAAATCTTGCAGGCATCTTCAACTCCTGAGGATGCCCACAGATGCGGGAAAATCTTGCAGGCATCTTCATCTCCTGAGGATGCCCACAGTGGCGGGCAAATCCTGAGGATGCCCGCTTCAGAGTGCTGTACAGTTACTTTTTTTTAAACCTCCAGTTTATCTAACATATTAGATGGACTAAGTAGGTTTCTTAATGGGAGAATCTCAGCGGCGATAGCGCAAGAGCTCCGAAGCATTGTTTTGCCAAAAGCGTGGCTGACATAGGACCAAGCTGCAGTTTATCGGTCAAATATTTCGGTGATTTCTGAAAGGGTTCTTCGTTAGCAGTAATTAAACGAAACTAATTTTTTTTTTACCAGCTAAAGCCCACTGACCTATACATCTCTTTTTTTCAGAAGCGAACCTGGCCATCACAAACGATAGCTCAGAGAAGCCGCTTATCACCGGGTGGCAATTTATTACAGCCAAATACTCTAAGCGCGTGATGTCGATTTTGAACGCGGAGCTAAAACAAAAAAAATGGAGGACCCGGAGAAAAATCCACGCCACCACGGGCGACAGAGGGACACCAAAATCTCTAAATGCACAGCAGGCAGCGTCAGGGTCAGGATCGAACCCACAAACTACCTCGCATACCAGGCGAGGTAGTTAACATCTCGCCGTCCCTGCTAAGTCGTCGTCCTGCACTGTGCCGTCAGTTAGCCTGTTCGCACAATTGGGCCTCCGCTCCTCGCTCCAATTCCCCCGTGGTGGTGCAAAACGCCACCGATGGCAAACGTCTCGGGGGGGGGTGGGGGGGGAGGTGGGGGGGGGGGGGTGGACCTTCATAATCTCATCGCTCCGCGAGACTCGGAAACGTCTCGCCTCCGCAATAACGTTGAGACGGCGGGACAACGACACGTCCCGAGCGACATCTCGCGATGGTCGCAAGAACTGAGTAACCGTCCTTAAAAGGTTCCCCCACCCCCCCCCCCCCCACCTCTTTTTGCAACGCGTGGCAAACGTCTGAAGTTGTCTACGAGAAACATTTATTCCCACCACCCACCCACCCACCCAAACCCGCCACGACACAAGGCTACCGGGGGACCGTCATGTGACGCGACGGGTCATGTGACGCGACGGGTCATGTGACGCGACGGGTCACGTGACGCGACGGGTCACGTGACGCGACGGGTCACGTGACGCGACGGGTCACGTGACGCGACGGGTCACGTGACGCGACGGGTCACGTGACGCGACGGGTCACGCCCGATTTTTAGATCGTGGCTCTTGGCGGACGCCGGTTTTGTCAGTCGTGAAAATGCCGCAGCCAATGCACGCGCCGGGAGGAATTGGGGAGGGGGGCGGGGGGTGGCGAGCCACCGCCACCGCTGATGACGACGGCGGCGACGGAAAAGACTCCCGGATGCGACCGCCGCCTGCGTTTGAGTGCGGAAGCTTGTGTTTGGTTTTTTTTCCCCCCATGCTGCAAAGCAAAAAGCGGAGGAGGCGTGGGGGGAACGGCACACAACAGCAGCAGCAGCGGGCAGGAGCAGTAACCAGACAGCGGGCTGCTGCACACACACACACAGCAGGAGAGCAAGAGAGCGAGAGAGCATCCGTTCAGCAGAACCTTTACGGTTATCCAATCAGCAGATCCGAATAGTTTTTTTTGTTGCTGGTTACAAGGGGTTTTGAGCAACAACAACAACAACAAAAAAAGCGAGGCTCCCACCTGGCAAAAACTGAATCGCAGCGCGAGTAGGGCTTAATTTCCCAGCGAATATTTGTTTTTGCCAGAGTCGCTGACAGACTTAGGGGGAAGGTGGCAGGTACCCTGGCGAAGACGCCACAGCGCAAAGCGAGCGAGATTTTTTTTTGTTTACTGGGAACGCGATCTGCCGGTGGGTAGGTGGGTGGGAGGGGTGGCGGCGGTAAATATTGAACGAAAAATGAAGCCCAGATTGAGACACAGGTGCGCGCGCGCGCAACAGCGAGCAGCATGAGACGGTGAGTGGGGAGGGGGGGGAGTGGGTGGTGGTGAGGGGGACACACGCTGAGAATGTGGGCCCCCACGTGTTCAGGGCGTGCTTGGGGGGTGGGGGCCAAAGTACAGACGACGCTCTCTTGAGATTTCTCGTAGGGCCCGGCAAGAGGGATGCGATTGCGGCACGGTCGAGAATGTCGCGAGGTTAAAAAAAACCTATTTTTTTTTAAAATCATAAATCAAAGTTAAATGTGTGGGGGGGTGGCAGCAGCAGTGAGATGGTAACTCTCACTGTAATAAAGAGTGGTTGCTAGGAAAAATGTTATGACTCACACTGCACTAACCAATCAGCTGCCAGGAAGACAAAAACAAGTACCCCAATGTGACATGGCCGCCATGACGTCACGGTTATATGCACGTGTGTATGTCGAACTTATTTCGCACCGTATGTAGCCAACCGCGCTAATCGGAGGTGTACACCCGCCCACCCTGAAACTTGCAGACGCCTCGGAATGGGGAAAGGTTCATGTCATTCATTGTTACTTTTGTTATTCTTACATTATCAATAACTCCCTGACGTGATCAACCCGTATGCTTTTCTACTGTCTTCATGAACGCCCAATGCCGTGAATGCCTCACTCACTTGGAATTGTGATCCATCTTGCGGCGAATCAAACTGTCGACATTACTATCAACGTCAAATATTGCAACTCTCTTATTCACTAGGAGTTATGAGAGAGCTTTATCGTGAAGCTAACTCATGACCTCACCACTAATGTCCAAATTGCCATGACTATTATTCTCTCGCGTATAAACATGATTCATGGAGTTTAACACGTAGTAGGCTTTAGCGACCAATATTATCCATAATAAAGGAGGAGGGGGCGGTTTGGTTAGATTGCGTACATATAAATGTGACGTCAAACCCGCTACCACCTGACACAGCCAATCATTAAGCTCTCTCACGTACACAAAACGTGCCATTTAGTTACTCGTTCAGCACACCGGTTGTGTGTTGCAGTGTAAACAGACAATACGACGTTTCGCTGGCGATTACAACCAGCTTCATCAGGCAAATTGGCCACAATTGGTGAAGAAGTCCTCCTGCTTCCGGTGTTAAATAGGAGTGGAAGGTGACGTCATCACTGTGAGGCCTATCAGGTGCCAAGACCAGAGTGGGGGGGGTTAATGTGGTCATATACGTTGCAATGGGTCGTGTTAATCTGATCATATGGAGTAACTAAAAACAAAACTTTAGTTGGGATAATTGAGGGAGATGGCCCAAAATCCCAATGTCGGGCCAACGAGCTGGGACCCATTGTGGGCACCGGATCCGGCTGCCTTCCCGTTTGTCCGTGGCTCGCTGCACAAATGAGACTGCGTACAAAAATGAGCACTGTTCGCTCAGAATTACGATGAATATTACCGTAGACCCCAGCTCATGACATTGCTACCAACGCCCGATATCGCATCACTCTTTATCTACGTGGAGTCACGATAAATCTTATCGCAGAACCCAGCTGCTTAACGACATTGCTACGAACGCCCTAACATCGCATCACCCATTATCGACTTGGAGTCACGATAAATCTTATCGTAGAACCCAGCTTACATAACGACATTGCTACCAACGCCCCAACATCGCATCGCCCATTATCGACTTGGAGTCATGAGAAAAGTTAACGTAGAGCCCAGCTTACATAACGACACTGCTACCAACGCCCCAACATTACACCACTCTTTATCTACTTGGAGTAATGAGAAAACCTATCATAGAACCAAGCCTGCTTAATGACTTTGCTTCCAATGCCCCAACATCGCACCACTTTTTATCTACTTGGAGTTGCGAGAAAACTTACCTTACAACCCAGCTTACTAAATGACATTGCTACCAATGCCCCAACATCGCACCACTCTTTAGCTACTTGGAGTCATGAGAAAACGTAGCATAGAACCCACCTTTAAGGACAATGCTGCCAACGCCCCCAACATCGCAACCACTCTGTAAACCTGCTTGGCATTACGAGAAATCTCATCGTAAGAAAAAAACTCAACCGAAGGCATTTTCACGACGTCACGGCGACGTCACAAGCCATTCTGTACTCTGACCCCCGCGACGTCATTCTGATTTCGCCGATTTGTTGAATCCGATTTGAAAGCGAGGTGGGAGTTGGGGAGGGGGGCGGCGGAGGTGCTGGGAGTGTGGAGGATGGGGTGGGGGAGAGAGGAGTTTGGGGGGGGGGTGCGTGCGGGGGATGGAGGAGGAGGAGGAGGGGGGGGAGGAGGAGGGAGACATAGCGGCACTGGCTGAAGCGGCTGTGCGTGCGCGGGTACTTTGGCTTTAGCGCCTCCAATGGGCCAGGCCCGGGCCTCCCCAACAGCGCCACTCAAGCCTGGAGGCAAACAGGCAACACGGTCAAAAAAAAACCGTCCGCAATCCGGCCCCACTGCTGATACTGCTGCTGCTGCTGGCGGTGCTGCTGTTGCTGCTGCTGGTGGAGGAGGTGGTGGTGGTGGTGTATGATGAGAGGGAGGGAGGAAGGCGAGTGGGGGGGGAACCGTTAGTGCAGCAGTTCTCAAAGCCTTTCAGGGGGAGAGGGAACGGGAATGGGGGAGGAGGAGGGGGGGGGGGGCAGGTCAGGGCAAGGCTGTGGCATGGAGACCGTGCAGGATGAACCATGTCTAACGTGCGCAGGGGGACGTCTGTACCGTTGTGCAGGTGACAAAACACGCCTTTGACAACGCAGCACAATAGTCAACAAGAAGTAATAACGATGACGAAGACGACGACTTTCAATTGGCAGCGTCGTTTTCCTTAAAAAGACGAGGCGTGCATTGCATCACGTGGGGGGGGGGGCATTCCTCCCCCTCCCCAACAACTTCTAACCCTCAGTGGCAGCTGTCCCTGTGCAGCACGAGGGGGGTCGATGTACGGTGCGAAAGAAGTCCGACGTACATGTATATGTATACTCACTGAGACACAATTACAACCGCCATTCGCCACTAAGCGGCGGTGACGTCACCGCGGCGCCTGTGCCAGGCCAGGTGCACTTTGAGGCCACGTGTCGAAGGCTCGCTGACAAGGAGGTCACGGGACAGACCCAGGTGCCATGGGTTGGCTGGCTGAGATGACTGGTACTGTAGATGCACCAGCTGTATCCCCTACTGTGCCAACTTACCACCAGCACTTACTATATTGGAAACTCATATAGATTGAAATCTCATTTCCTTAGGACTCGTTTTGTGTTTAGTTTGTTCTCCTTCCCCCCAAACCTCCAAAGAGCGCGGTTGGCTATACATGTGGTGCGACAGAAGTTCAACCCACACCACCACCACCAGACAACCACCACCATCACTACCACAGCCAACACCAGCACCACCACCAGCAGATACTGGATTGAAAAAACTCATTTCTTTAGGACTGCTTCTTGTTGTTGTTGTGTTCAGTTTGTTGTCCTTCCCTTGGACCTCCGATTAGCGTGGTTGGCTATACGTACGGTACGAAAGACGTTCAACGTACACACACACATTCACATACATGATCGTGTTTTGTTGGCTAGGTAGGAGGAAGATGGAGGTGGGTGGAGGGGGAAGGGCTGTGGGTTCGTGGGTAACCGATGATGGTCCTGATTGGTTGGGTGGGTGGGGTGAGGGGATAGTGGGTAACCGATGATGGTCCTGATTGGTTGGGTGGGTGGGGTGGAGGATCGTGGGTAACTGGTAATGGCCCTGATTGGTTGTGTGGGGCTGAGGGAACGTGGGAAACCGCTCATGGTCCTGATTGGTTGGATGGTTAGATAGTTGGGTGGGGTAGGGGATCGTGAGTAACTGATGATGGTCCTGATTGGTTGTGTGGGTGGGTGGGGTTGGGGGAACGCGGGAAACCGGTGATGGTCCTGATTGGTTGGATGGTTGGGTGGGTGGGGTGAGGGGATCGTGGGTAACTGATGATGGTCCTGATTGGTTGTGTGGGTGGGGTTGGGGGAACGCGGGAAACCGGTGATGGTCCTGATTGGTTGGGTGGGTGGGTGGGGTGAGGGGATCGTGGGTAACTGATGATGGTCCTGATTGGTTGTGTGGGTGGGTGGGGTGAGGGGATCGTGGGTAACTGGTAATGGCCCTGATTGGTCGGGTGGGTAGAGGGGGTGCCGGGTTCGTGGTAGAGAGCAAACTCACGAACTCCAGACCCAGACAGGGGGGTTTGCAGGGCACCCGGGTCAGGAATTGAACCCAGGCCTGCTTCTGGCCCGCGCCGTGCGAGCGTCACCCTGGCCACGCACCCTGGCCGCTTGCCCTGACCGCTCACTGGCCACCCCCTGCCCACCCTGGCCACCTGCCCTGGCCTCCCGCTCTTGACCGCCCTGGCCACCCGCCCTGACCGCTCACTGGCCACCCCCTGCCCACCCTGGCCACCTGCCCTGGCCTCCCGCTCTTGACCGCCCTGGCTACCTGCCCTGGCCACCCGCCCTTGACCGCCCTGGCCACCCGCCCTTGACCGCCCTGGCCACCCGCCCTGGCCACCCGCCCTTGACCGCCCTGGCCACCCGCCCTGGCCACCCGCCCTTGACCGCCCTGGCCACCCGCCCTGGCCACCCGCCCTTGACCGCCCTGGCCACCCGCCCTGGCCACCCGCCCTTGACCGCCCTGGCCACCCGCCCTGGCCACCCGCCCTGGCCACCCGCCCTGGCCACCCGCCCTGGCCACCCGCCCTTGACCGCCCTGGCCGAACACTGGCGGGCCGCTCGCGCACCTGGAGGTTCTTGCGCCACACGTTGACGGCGGCGAACGCCAGCTGCATCTGCTTGCGCCTCGCGTCCTTGTGCCTCTTGTAGGCGATCTCGATGAAGATGAGGAACATCCCCGCCACGATGCCCCCCGCCACCAGCATGAACACACCTTGGTTGGGGGTGGGGTGGGGGGGGGGGCGGAGGGGGCAAGCGATCGATGTGCCGCTGCTGCGCTGTTGGCGGTGGTTGGTGGTGGTTGGTGGTGGCGCAGGAAAATTCGTCACGGTCCGTGGTCGATAGCAACACCGCGCGTGGGGGTAGGGAGAGGGGGGATGTAGGGAGGGGGGATAGGGAGGGGGGGTAGGGAGGGGGGGATAGGGAGGGGGGGTAGGGAGGGGGGGATAGGGAAGGGGGGTAGGGAGAGGGGGTTGTAGGGAGGGGGGATAGGGAGGGGGGATAGGGAGGGGGGGATAGGTAGGGGGCGTTATGGAAGGGGGGGATAGGGAAGGGGGGTAGGGAGAGGGGGTTGTAGGGAGGGGGGATAGGGAGGGGGGGATAGGTAGGGGGGGTTATGGAAGGGGGGATAGGGAGGGGGGATATGGAGGGGGGGATAGGGAGGGGGGATAGGGAAGGGGGGATAGGGAAGGGGGGATGGGGGGGTATGAAGGGGGGATAGGGAGGAAGGATAGGAAGGAGGTAGGGATAGGGAGGAGGGGGGGGATAGGTAGGGGAGGATGTGGAAGGGTCTTCACCCAGCAGTGGATAGCGCCTGGCTGTGCTCACCGGCCATGTTCTCGAAGGTGAGCGTGGCGGGCGAGTTGCTGCGTGAGTCACACTCCTGGTAGCGCACCCACGTGCGGTCCAGGTCCTCCATGAAGCCGCTCTCGTGGAAACTGCCTCGACCACAGCGTCAACCATAGCGTCAACCACAGCGTCAACCACAGCCTCGAACACAGCGTCAACCACAGCATCAACCACAGCCTCGACCACAGCGTCAACCACAGCGTCAACCACAACGTCAACCACAGCGTCGACCCACACCCAGACACACACCCCCCCCTCCCCCCCGCGCCGTGCCCACGTGGCGCTGTGCAGTGGGGGCAGTGCCCACCTGAGGATGGACAGGGACACTTTCTGCTTCCAGGGGCTCTCCTTGCGCATGCCGATGCCGAACCCCGAGCGGAAGAACAGCTCCCCGGCAGTCACCAGGTCGCACTTCTGGGACGCCTCGAACTCCAGCACAGCTGAGTCCCAGATGAAGGCATGCAGAGTCCTGGGGGGATGGTGGCGGGGGGGGGTGGGGGGACGTGGTGGGGGGGCGTCGATTGTACGTGCGCACTCACTGGTACCCGCGCCTGCTTACCCGGTCACACACGCCACACACCCACCCATACCCACTCACCCACCCACACTCACCCACCCACCCATACTGACCCACCCACCTACCCACTCACCCATCCACTCACGCACCCACTCACCAACCCACTCGCCCACCCACCCACCCACCCACTCACCCACACATTCACCCACCCACTCACCCACCCGCACTTACCCACACCCACCCCAAATCACCCACACTTTCCCACACACACCTACCCACACTCATGCACCCACACACATACACACACACGTGTGTGTGTCCGGCAAAACAACCCCCTACCTCCTCGCGATGCCGGACGGGCAACGCTGTCGTGGACAGCGCTGTGGGGGAGAGGGCCAATTCCGATTGTCCCTCTCCCCTCATGGCATCTGTGACCACCACAGTGGCTAAATGGGGGTTCTGGATGGGTGCGAGGGGCTGGTAACCCCTCCACCTTCAATAAATTACCACTTAACCACGACTGAAATATCTAACTAATAAGCTTGTGCCGGAGGCCCCAGGGGGACATGCGTCTATGACGTCTCCTGGCCAAATCCCATTTGGCGGAACCAGGAGATTGAATCTTTACCCTCGGGGCTCCTCCAGAACCAACGAAAAGCCATTTCGTGTGGCCACGTGGAATGTTCGAACGCTCACTGTGGATGAGACTGCCACTCCTCTATCGGGAGCTAGACCGGTACCGCCTGGATCTCTGTGGCATTCAGGAGGTCCAGTGGACCGGCTCTGGCTCCTGCCACCATGAGGGGTGGACAGTCCTCTACTCGGGGCAGGAGACTGCCAAACAACAGGGTGTGACTCTTCTTCTGAACAAAAGAATAAAGGGGGCGTGGGAGCGTGGCGGTGAGGTGTGGGAAGCTGTAAGCCGCAGGATACTTTGGGCTCGCCTTCCCGTCAACCGGAGGCGAGGAGTGGTGGTCGTGGTTTCTTATGCCCCCACCGAAGATGCACATCCGTGGAGGGATGCAGGCAAAGCCGATGAGCCAGATGCCTTCTATGACCTCCTGTCACAAGTACTGACTAAAGTGGCCCCTCGGGATAGAGTCATCTTGTTGGGTGACTTCAATGCCCGAGTTGGTAATGATGCTGGCACCTGGTCTGGAGTGATTAGAAGGCATGGGCCAGATCAGCTCAATAACAACGGTAGGAGGCTGCTAGACTTCTGTGCAGCCCATGGGCTTGTAATTACCAACACGCTGTTCCGGCATCAGCGCATCCACACAACATCATGGATGCAGGCTGGGTCCAAGCAAGAACATCTGCTGGACTACATAGTGACGGACCAGCGGATGGGAGCCCATGTCCTTGACACCAGGACCTACCGTGGAGCTGATCTGTCCTCTGATCATCGACTAGTCATCTGTAAGATGCGTCTGCCATTCTTTCACTGCGGTGGTGGGTGTACACCCAGGACCCCATTCCAACCTAAGGTGGCCTGGTCTCAGCTAGCTGATGAAAGTTGCAATCGATAATTTCATCATCGCTGGCGGCTGGGGTTGGCATCGTCCCCCACTCCTCCTGATGACGAGGGTGAATGGGCGAGGTTTTGGACTGTGACTCATGCAAACGCAATGGCTGCGTTGGGCACGCGGTCCAGACCTCCACAGAGACCCTGGCTGACAGAGGAGGTGTTCAGGATGGTTGAGAAAAGCGACAGGCCAACTATAATCGTCTACAGCATCCAACGTCCGAGAATGCGGAGGCTTACCGCAGCCTTCGCTCGGAGATTCGGAGAGCTGTGAGGCGCTGCAAGGATGGGTGGTGGTCGCGGGTTGCTGAGGAGATGGAGTCTGCCTCAATGGCCTGCGATCACAAATCCCTATTTAACTCCATCAAAAAAGTAACCTGCAGCGCTACACCTATTACCATCATTAGAGGAAAAAACGGTGATCCAATCTCCGACCCCCAGGAACAGGTTTGCATATTTGCTGAGCATTTCTTTGAGGTCCTGGGGGAGGGGAAATCCCTCAGCCAGGAAAACATCGTGGCACAAAGTGGGGATGACCCTGTTGAGGCTGCGGTGCCTCAAATATTGGAAGAAGTCACCCCCTGTGAGTGGCTGGCTGAGGTGCCATCTGTTGAGGAAGTACTGAAGGCGATCCAGAGTCTGAGACCAGGAAAGGCACCGGGCAGAGATGATCTCCCAAGCGAAATGCTGAGGGAGGGTGGCGTTTGTGCACAGACTGCCCTATATGACATCATAACAACAGTCTGGACCACTGGACGGGTTCCGCAGGATTGGAAGGATGCCCTGGTGGTCCCCCTTTTAAGAAGGGGGACCGCACAGACTGTAACAACTACAGGGGCATCTCACTCCTCAGTGTGCCGGGAAAGGTCCTGGCAAGGATTATTCAGCATCGCCTTGCCAGGCACGCTGAGGAGAGGCTTGCGGAGCCCCACTGCGGTTTCAGGATAGGGCGGTCCTGCACAGATGCCATATTTTCTGTCCGTCTGCTACAGCAGAGGTGTAGGGAATTCCAACAAGACCTACATCTCTGCTTTATTGACCTGGTCAAGGCCTATGATACCATCAGTAGGCCTGGGCTCTGGGTCGTTCTTCGTGCTTTTGGAGTACCTGACCCTCTGCTCACGATCATTAAGGACCTTCATGATGGTGAGCGGGCCCGGGTAAAACTACGTGGCCGGGAGTCAGAGCCATTCCCTGTACACCTTGGGGTGCGACAGGGATGTCCTCTGGCTCCCACATTATTTAACATCTATTTTGACCACGTAGTTCGTGAAGCCTTCTATAGCTGTACCGGGGGAATCTCCATATGGTACAGATATAATGGGAGGCTGATCGATGCCCGGGTGCGGTCAAGGGATGGCTCCCTATTGCTCAACCACGTTATGTATGCTGATGATTTGGTAATAGCTGCTCAGTCAGAGGAGGAGTTGGAGACGCTGCTGCTGAGACTGGAGCGTGCCACTAAGAGGTGGGGCCTTACCATCAGCCCCACCAAAACTAAGCACCTGCCTGGGTATTTTGTACCATTGGACACTCCACCCCCACAACTCCCGATCGGTCATGGGGCAGTTGTGCAGAGAGTGGAGAGTTTCCCATACCTGGGCAGTGTGCTTATGACTGGCTCCAGTTTAACAGCAGAGGTCTCACTCCGAATCAGTCGAGCGGCAATATCTTTTCATTGGTTGCGTAACGCTGTGTGGAAGCTACCTGGTTTGTCGCTCCGCACCAAGCTTCAGGTCTTCTCGGCCACGGTCATTCCCTCCCTTCTCTACGCTTGCGAAACGTTGACCCCCCTAATGGAACATCTTCGCCGGTTAGAAACATTTAGGCTGGCCTGTCTACGATCCATCCTGGGTTTAACCAGACTGGATTGTGTGAGGAGCTCACAAATCCTTGAAAGATCTGGGCAAGGTCCCATCGGTGAGCTCCTCCGGCGGGCAAGGCTGCGATGGCTGGGTCATGTAGCCCGCATGCCCAGCCACCGCATACCGAAACAGCTTTTGTTCGGCCGGATTGAGGGGGCAAAGCGGGCGCGGCACGGGCTAGAGAAGAGATGGAGTGATGTGGTACAGGAGGACGTGGAGCTGAGTGGACTTGCCGATGACTGGTACCAGCGGTGTCAAGATCGGCCTCTGTGGAGGAGGCTCGTGAAGGATGCTACTGGTCAGTTGGAGGCAGTCGCCCTCCAACAACAACGGAGGGCGGAGGAGCGACGCTCACAACAACGAGCGGAGCGCCGGGTGGCTAAAGCACAGCAGGTTGGCACAGTAGGGGGCACAGGTGGTGCATCAGCCAGTCATCTCAGTCAGTCGACCGTGGCACCTGGGTCTGCCCCGTGACCTCCTGCCAGCGGGCGTTCGACACTTCACGTGGCCTCAGGGTGCACATAGCCTGGCACAAGCGTCGTGGTGACGTCACCGCCACTTAGTGGCGAATGGCGGTTGTTGTTGTATGTGTGTGTGTGTATTTGTGTGTGTATTTGTGTGTGTATTTGTGTGTGTATGTGTGTGTGTATGTGTGTGTGTATGTGTGTGTGTGTATGTGTGTGTGTATGTGTGTGTGTATGTGTGTGTATGTGTGTGTGTACCCGTCCTTGACGGCCTGGATGGCCTCCCCGGCACTGTCGTAGTTGTGCTTCTCCATGTGCCTGTACATGGTGCTGAACTCCACCTGGCGCCGGAAGTAAATGTCCACCGAGCTCTGCTTCACCGTCGCGTAGATGAACTTGTCCGATGGGTTCCGCAGCTGCAGCATCAGCAGCATCATCATCAGTAGCAGCATCATCATCAGTAGCAGCATCATCATCAGTAGCAGCAGCAGCATCATCAGTAGCATCATCATCATCAGTAGCAGCATCATCATCAGTAGCAGCAGCAGTAGCAGCAGCAGCATCATCAGTAGCAGCATCATCATCAGTAGCAGCAGCAGTAGCAGAAGGAGCATCATCAGTAGCAGCATCATCAGCAGCAGTATCATCATCAGAAGCAGCAGCAGCATCATCAGCAGCAGCAGCATCATCATCAGCAGCATCATCATCAGCAGCATCATCATCAGCAGCAGCAGCATCAGCAGGATCATCATCAGCAGCAGCAGCATCATCAGCAGCATCATCAGCAGCATCAACAGCAGCAGTAGCAGTTCACGTCGTGGTGAGCGTGGCGGTGAGCGTGGCGGTGAGCGTGGCAGTGAGTGTGGCGGTGAACGTCATGGTGAGCGTGACGGTGAGCGTGGCGGTGAACGTCATGGTGAGCGTGGCGGTGAGTGTGGCAGTGAACGTCATGGTGAGCGTGGCGGTGAGCGTGGCGGTGAGCGTGGCGCTCACCCGCGGGTCGTTGATGCCGGTGATGAGGGCCTCCGGGCGGTCGAGCACGAGGAAGGCGGCGAGGTTGGCCGTGTAGGAGGCCACGATGATCATGGCGAAGCCGGCCCACACCATGCCCAGGATCCTCGCTGAGAAGCTCCGGGGGCTGCCTGCACGCCGCACAACCGCCATCGTCACAGTCACCACTAACAACCACCATCACCATCGCCACCGCCATCGTCACGATCACCACTAACAACCACCATCACCGCCATCGTCACTGTCACGGTCACCACTAACAACCACCATCACCATCGCCACCGCCATCGTCACGATCACCACTAACAACCACCATCACCATCGCCACCGCCATCGTCACAGTCACCACTAACAACCACCATCACCGTCATCGTCACGGTCACCACTAACAACCACCATCACCACCATCGTCACCGTCACCACTAACAACCACCATCGCCACCGCCATCGTCACAGTCACCACTAACAACCACCATCACCATCGCCACCGCCATCGTCACAGTCACCACTAACAACCACCATCATCGTCACCGTCACCACTAACAACCACCATCACCATCACCGCCATCGTCACGGTCACCACTAACAACCACCATCACCATCACTGCCATCGTCACCGTCACCACTAACAACCACCATCACCACCGCCGTCGTCACGGTCACCACTAACAACCACCATCACCACCGCCATCGTCACGGTCACCACTAACAACCACCATCACCACCGCCATCGTCACGGTCACCACTAACAACCACCATCACCACTGCCATCATCACCGTCACGGTCACCACTAACAACCACCATCGCCACCGCCATCGTCACTCACCATTAACAACCACCATCACCACCGCCATCGTCACCATCACCACTAACAACCACCATCACCACCGCCATCGTCACAGTCACGGTCACCACTAACAACCACCATCACCACCGCCATCGTCACAGTCACCACTAACAACCACCATCACCACCATCGTCCCCGTCACGGTCACCACTAACAGCTACCATCACCACTGCCACCATCACCACTGCCACCACCACCATCCTCACCACCACCATCGACGTCTCTCACCCGACTGCCCCCCCACCCGCTCACCCTCCCCGATGCCGGAGTTGAGCAGCACTCCCCAAGAGAACCACATGGCGGAGGAGAGCGTCAGGGCGTCCTCCTCCTCATCCTCGCTGTTCACCTTGAACCTCCCGAACGGACTGCGCGCGGTGCACGAGACGCGTGGGGAGAGAGACACGGGGGGAGAGTCATGGGGAGAGACACGGGGAGACGCGTGGGGAGAGAGACACGGGGAGAAGCGTGGGGAGAGAGACACGGGGGGAGAGTCACGGGGAGAGAGACACGGGGAGATGCGTGGGGAGAGAGACACGGGGAGACGCGTGGGGAGAGAGACACGGGGGGAGAGACACGGGGAGACGCGTGGGGAGAGAGACACGGGGAGACGCGTGGGGAGAGAGACACGGGGGGAGAGTCACGGGGAGAGAGACACGGGGGGAGAGTCACGGGGGGAGAGACACGGGGAGAGAGACACGGGGGGAGGGTCACGGGGAGAGAGACACGGGGAGAGAGACACGGGGAGAGAGACACGGGGGGAGAGACACGGAGAGAGAGACACGGGGAGAGAGACACGGGGAGACGCGTGGGGAGAGAGACACGGGGGGAGAGACACGGGGGGAGAGACACGGGGAGAGAGACACGGGGAGACGTGGGGGGAGAGACACGGGGAGACACGTGGGGAGAGAGTCACGGGGAGAGAGTCACGGGGGGAGAGACACGGGGAGACGTGGGGGGAGAGACACGGGGAGAGAGTCACGGGGGGAGAGACACGGGGGGAGAGTCACGGGGAGAGAGACACGGGGAGACGTGGGGGGAGAGAGACACGGGGGGAGAGTCACGGGGAGAGAGACACGGGGAGACGTGGGGGGAGAGACACAGGGAGAGAGTCACGGGGGGAGAGACACGGGGGGAGAGTCACGGGGGGAGAGTCACGGGGAGAGAGACACGGGGAGACGCGTGGGGAGAGAGACACGGGGAGACGTGGGGGGAGAGTCACGGGGAGAGAGACACGGGGAGACGCGTGGGGAGAGAGACACGGGGAGACGTGGGGGGAGAGACACGGAGAGACACGTGGGGAGAGAGTCACGGGGGGAGAGTCACGGGGGGAGAGACACGGGGAGAGAGACACGGGGGGAGGGGAGACGCGGGGGGGGAGACACGGGGCAGGGGGGAGACACGGGGGGGGGCAGCTACAGACACACACGGGGTAGGGGGCAGCCACAGAGACACTCACGAGGGGGGGCAGCTACAGAGACACAAGGGGGGGGCAGCCACAGACACACACAGGAGGGGGGAGGGGGCAGCCACAGAGCCACTCACGGGGGGGGGGGGCAGCTACAGAGACACACGGGAGGGGTGGGGGGCAGCCACAGAGACACTCACGAGGGGGGCAGTTACAGAGACACACGGGGGGGGCAGCCACAGAGAGACGGGGGGGGGCAGCTACAGAGACACTCACGAGGGGGGGGGCAGCCACAGAGACACGGGGTGGGGGGCAGTCCGCCGCGTGCGTGTTACCTGCGGAGCGACTTGTTGTGTGGCTATGACGGGGCGGTGGAAATGCCGGATCGCCACGCGGGTGGTGGGGGGGTGTGGAGGGTGGTGGGGGGTGGTGAGGGTGGTGGGGGGGGGTGAGGGTGGTGGGGGGGTGAGGAGGGTGGGGGGGGTGAGGGTGGTGGTGGGGGTGAGGGTGGTGGGGGGGTGAGGGTGGTGGGGGGGGGTGGTGAGGGTGGTGGGGGGGTGAGGAGGGTGGGGGGGGTGAGGGTGGTGGTGGGGGGTGAGGAGGGTGGGGGGGGGGTGAGGGTGGTGGGGAGTGGTGGTGGGGAGAGTGGTGGGGATGATGGTGGGGGTGGTGGTGGGGAGAGTGGTGGGGATGATGGTGGGGGTGGTGGTGGGGAGGGTTGTGGGTGAGGGTGGTGGGGGGTGAGGGTGGTGGTGGGGGGTGAGGGTGGTGGGGGGGGTGAGGGCGGTGGGGGGGGGGTGAGGGTGGTGGGGGGGGGGGTGAGGGTGGTGGGGGGGACGCGCAGCTGGAATGGATCTGTGGAATGAATCGGCGGATCACTTCGTCAGCACGTGGGATGGAACGGGGCTCAGCGCGCGCGATCCAACTCGTCACCACTCGCGCGATATTGCATAAGGTGTGTGTACAGGTGTGTGTGTGTACAGGTGTGTGTGTGTACAGGTGTGTGTACAGGTGTGTGTGTACAGGTGTGTGTACAGGTGTGTGTGTACAGGTGTGTGTACAGGTGTGTGTACAGGTGTGTGTGTGTGTACAGGTGAGTGTACAGGGGAGTGTGTGTGTACAGGTGTGTGTGTGTACAGGTGTGTGTGTGTACAGGTGTGTGTGTGTACAGGTGTGTGTGTACAGGTGTGTGTGTGTGTACAGGTGTGTGTGTGTACAGGTGTGTGTGTACAGGTGAGTGTACAGGGGAGTGTTGTGTACAGGTGTGTGTACAGGTGTGTGTGTGTACAGGTGTGTGTACTGGTGTGTGTGTACAGGTGTGTGTGTACAGGTGTGTGTGTGTACAGGTGAGTGTACAGGGGAGTGTGTGTGTACAGGTGTGTGTGTACAGATGTGTGTGTACAGGTGTGTGTGTACAGGTGTGTGTGTGTGTACAGGTGAGTGTACAGGGGAGTGTGTGTGTACAGGTGTGTGTGTGTACAGGTGAGTGTACAGGTGTGTGTGTACAGGTGAGTGTGTGTGTACAGGTGTGTGTGTACAGGGGAGCGATAGTGTAGAGGTTAGCGCTACGCTGCGCTATGAACCTGGCGACCCGGGTTCGATTCCCGCTCACGGCCAATACCAGTGACTATTATCTAAACCGGTCCCGGGCCTCCCCTAGGTCGACTCAGCCTCAAATGAGTACCTGGTGCGGTGTGTAAACATCGCCACTAGGGAGACAAAGGCGGTCGGGCGTGGTGCTGGCCACCCACCCCCTCGTGTACCGTTCCGGCCTTCATAGGTGCTCGCTAACAGCACTTGCCCCTACAGTCTGTTAAGGCTATATGGGGGATCTTTGTCTTTTGTGTGTACAGGTGTGTGTGTGTACAGGTGTGTGTGTACAGGTGTGTGTGTGTACAGGTGTGTGTGTGTACAGGTGTGTGTGTGTTGCTAGTCCGGCAAAACAACCCCCTACCTCCTCGCGGTGCCGGACGGGCAACTCTGTCGTGGACAGTGCTGTAGGGGGAGGGCCAATTCCGATTGGTTCCTCCCCTCATGGCGTCTGTGACCGCCACAGGGGCTAAACGGGGGCTCTGGACGGCCGGGTGCGAGGGGCTGGTAACCCCTCCACCTTCAAAAAATTACCACGAAACTACGACTTAAACTTAAATATGTAACAAATAAGCTTGTGCCGGAGGCCCCGGGGGACAGGCGTCTATGACGTCTCCTGGCCAAACTCCAATTGGCGGAGCCAGGAGATTGAATCTCAACCCTCGGGGCTCCTCCAGAAACAACGAAAAGCCATTACGGATGGCCACGTGGAATGTTCGAACGCTCACTGCGGAGGAGAGGCTGCCACTCCTCTGTCGGGAGCTGGAACGGTACCGCCTGGATCTCTGTGGCATTCAGGAGGTCCGGTAGACCGGTTCTGGCACCTGCCACCATGAGGGGTGGACAGTCCTCTACTCGGGGCAGGAGACTGCCAAACAACAGGGTGTGGCTCTTCTTTTGAACAAAAGAATTAAGGGGGCGTAGGAGCGTGGCGGTGAGGTGTGGAAAGCTGTAAGCCCCAGGCTACTTTGGGCTCGCCTTCCCATCAATCGGAGGCGAGGATTGGTGGTCGTGGTTACTTATGCCCCCACCGAAGAACATCCGTGGAGGAATTCAGGCAAAGTCGATGAGTCAGATGCCTTCTATGACCTCCTGTCACAGGTGCTGGCTAAAGTGGCCCCTCGGGATAGAGTCATCTTGTTGGGTGACTTCAATGCCCGAGTTGGTCATGATGCTGGCACCTGGCCTGGAGTGATTGGAGGGCATGGGCCGGATCAGCTTAATAACAACGGTAGGAGGCTGCTAGATTTTTTGTGCAGCCCATGGACTTGTAATTACCAACACACTGTTCCGGCATCGGCGCATCCACACAACATCATGGATGCATGCCGGGTCCAAGCAAGAACATCTGCTGGACTACATAGTGACGGACCAGCGGATGCGAGCCCATGTCCTTGACATCAGGACCTACTGTGGAGTTGATCTGCCCTCTGACCATCGACTTGTCATCTGTAAGATGCGCCGCCCATTCTTCCGCTCCGGTGGTGGGTGTACACCCAGGACCCCATTCCAACCAAAAGTGGCCTGGTCTCAGCTAGCTAATGAAAGTTGCAAGCGAGAATTTCATCATCGCCTGCGGCTGGGGTTGGCATCGTCCCTCACTCCTCCTGATGTCGAGGGTAAATGGGCGAGGTTTAGGACTGTGACTCATGCAGCTGCAATGGCTGCTTTGGGAACACGGTCCATACCTCCCCAGAGACCCTTGCTGACAGAGGAGGTGTTCAGGATGGTTGAGAAAAAGCGACAGGCCCACTGTCATCGGCTACAGAATCCCACATCAGAGAATGAGGAGGCTTACCGCAACCTTCGCTCAGAGGTTCGGAGAGCCGTGAGGCGCTGCAAGGATGGGTGGTGGTCGCGGGTTGCTGAGGAGATGGAGTCTGCCTCAGTGGCCCGCGATCACAAATCTCTATTTAACTCCATCAAAAAAGTAACCTGCAGCGCCACACCTATTTCCATCATTAGGGGAAAAAACGGTGATCCAATCTCCGACTCCCACGAACAGATTTGCATATTTGCTGAGCATTTCTGTGAGGTCCTGGGGGAGGGAAAATCCCTCAGCCAGGAAAACATCGTGGCACAAAGTGAGGATGACCCTGCTGAGGCTGCGGTGCCTCAAATATTGGAAGAAGTCACCCCCTGTGAGTGGCTGGCTGAGGTGCCATTTGCTGAGGAAGTATTGAAGGCGATCCGGAGTCTGAGACCAGAAAAGGCAGCGGGCAGAGATGATCTCCCAAGCGAAATGCTGAGGGAGGGTGGCGTTTGTGCACAGACTGCCCTATATGACTTCATAACAACAGTCTGGACCACTGGACGGGTTCCGCAGGATTGGAAGGATGCCCTGGTGGTCCCCCTTTTTAAGAAGGGGGACCGCACAGACTGTAACAACTACAGGGGCATCTCACTCCTCAGTGTGCCGGGAAAGGTCCTGGCAAGGATTATTCAGCATCGCCTTGCCAGGCACGCTGAGGAGAGGCTTGCGGAGCCCCAATGCGGTTTCAGGAAAGGGCGGTCCTGCACAGATGCCATATTTTCTGTCCGTCTGCTACAGCAGAGGTGTAGGGAATTCCAACAAGACCTACATCTCTGCTTTATTGACCTGGTCAAGGCCTATGATTCCATCAGTAGGCCTGGGCTCTGGGTCGTTCTTCGTGCTTTTGGAGTACCTGACCCTCTGCTCACGATCATTAAGGACCTTCATGATGGTGAGCGGGCCCGGGTAAAACTACGTGGCCGGGAGTCAGAGCCATTCCCTGTACACCTTGGTGTGCGACAGGGATGTCCTCTGGCTCCCACATTATTTAACATCTATTTTGACCACGTAGTTCGTGAAGCCTTCAATAGCTGTACCGGGGGAATCTCCATATGGTACATATATAATGGGAGGCTAATCGATGCCCGGGTGCGGTCAAGGGATGGCTCCCTATTGCTCAACCACGTTATGTATGCTGATGATTTGGTAATAGCTGCTCAGTCAGAGGAGGAGTTGGAGATGCTGCTGCTGAGACTGGAGCGTGCCACTAAGAGGTGGGGCCTTACCATCAGCCCCACCAAAACTAAGCACCTGCCTGGGTATTTTGTACCATCGGACACTCCACCCCCACAACTCCCAATCGGTGATGGGGCAGTTGTGGAGAGAGTGGAGAGTTTCCCATACCTGGGCAGTGTGCTTATGACTGGCTCCAGTTTAACAGCAGAGGTCTCACTCCGAATCAGTCGAGCGGCAATATCTTTTCATCGGTTGCGTAACGCTGTGTGGAAGCTACCTGGTCTGTCGCTCCGCACTAAGCTTCAGGTCTTCTCGGCCACAGTCATTCCCTCCCTTCTCTACGCTTGCGAAACGTGGACCCCCCTAATGGAACATCTTCGCTGGTTATAAACATTTAGGCTGGCCTGCCTACGATCCATCCTGGGTTTAACCAGACTGGATTGTGTGAGGAGCTCACAAATCTTTGAAAGATCTGGGCAGGGTCCCATCGGTGAGCTCCTCCGGCAGGCAAGGCTGCGATGGCTGGGTCATGTAGCCCGCATGCCCAGCCACCGCATGCCGAAACAGCTTTTGTTTGGCTGGATTGAAGGGGCTAAGCGGGCGCGGCACGGGCTAGAGAAGAGATGGAGTGATGTGGTACAGGAGGACGTGGAGCTGAGTGGACTTGCCGATGACTGGTACCAGCGGTGTCAAGATCGGCCTCTGTGGAGGAGGCTCGTGAAGGATGCTACTGGGCAGTTGGAGGCAGTCGCCCTCCAACAACAACGGAGGGCGGAGGAGCGACGCTCAGAACAACGAGCGGAGCGCCGGGTGGCTAAAGCACAGCAGGTTGGCACAGTAGGGGGCACAGGTGGTGCATCAGCCAGTCATCTCAGTCAGTCGACCCGTGGCACCTGGGTCTGCCCAGTGACCTCCTGCCAGCGGGCGTTCGACACTTCACGTGGCCTCACGGTGCACATAGCCTGGCACAAGCGTCGTGGTGACGTCACCGCCACTTAGTGGCGAATGGCGGTTGTTGTTGTTGTGTGTGTACAGGTGTGTGTGTACATGTGTGTGTGTGTACAGGTGTGTGTGTACAGGTGTGTGTGTACAGGTGTGTGTACAGGTGTGTGTGTGTGTACAGGTGTATGTGTACAGGTGCGTGTGTACAGGTGTGTGTACAAGTGAGTGTGTGTGTACAGGTGTATGTACAAGTGAGTGTGTGTGTACAGGTGTATGTACAAGTGAGTGTGTGTGTACAGGTGTGTGTACAAGTGAGTGTGTGTGTACAGGTGTGTGTACAGGTGTGTGTGTACAGGCGTGTGTGTGTGTGTACAAGTGAGTGTGTGTGTACAGGCGTGTGTGTGTGTGTACAAGTGAGTGTGTGTGTACAGGTGTGCGTGCAGGTAACCCCCCCCCCCCCCCCGCCGCCGCCGCCCCCACGACCCCGCACCTGAAGCGGTCGAGCAGGTAGAGCATGACGGCCACCACGTGGACCGAGAGTCCCACGAGCAGCCACAGCGTGCTCTGGAACGGCTGCATGAACGAGTCGAGGGTGCTGCGCGGGATCTCCTGCTCAGCCGTGGCACGCGGGGAGGGGGAGACACCGTGGGGGGGGCGGGTGGGGGGTGAGGGCACGCGGGGAGGGGGTGGGAGACACGGTGGGGGTGGCAGGGGGGGTGTGAGGGCACGGGGCGGGGGGGAGACACAGGGTGGTGATGGGAGACACGGGGAGGTGATGGGAGACACCGGCAGGGGAGACACAGGGTGGTGATGGGAGACACAGGGTGGTGATGGGAGACACGGGGAGGTGATGGGAGACACCGGCAGGGGAGACACAGGGTGGTGATGGGAGACACGGAGGGGAGACACGAGGAGGTGATGGGAGACACGGGGAGGGGAGACACAGGGTGGTGAAGGGAGACACAGGGTAGTGATGGGAGACACAGGGTGGTGATGGGAGACACAGGGTGGTGATGGGAGACACAGGGTGGTGATGGGAGACACAGGGTGGTGATGGGAGACACAGGGTGGTGATGGGAGACACGGGGAGGAGAGACACAGGGAGGTGATGGGAGACACGGGGAGGGGAGACACGGGGTGGTGATGGGAGACAGAGAGGTGATGGGAGACACAGGGTGGTGATGGGAGACACGGGGAGGAGAGACACAGGGAGGTGATGGGAGACACGGTGAGGGGAGACACAGGGTGGTGATGGGAGACACGGAGGGGAGACACGAGGAGGTGATGGGAGACACGGGGAGGGGAGACACAGGGTTGGTGATGGGAGACACAGGGTGGTGATGGGAGACACGGGGAGGTGATGGGAGACACAGGGTGGTGATGGGAGACACAGGGTGGTGATGGGAGACACGGGGAGGTGATGGGAGACACAGAGAGGGGAGACACGGGGAGGTGATGGGAGACACAGGGTGGTGATGGGAGACACAGGGTGGTGATGGGAGACACAGGGTGGTGATGGGAGACACAGGGTTGGTGATGGGAGACACAGGGTGGTGATGGGAGACACGGGGAGGTGATGGGAGACACGGGGAGGTGATGGGAGACACGGTGGTGATGGGAGACACAGGGTGGTGATGGGAGACACGGGGTGGTGATGGGAGACACGGGGAGGTGATGGGAGACACACGGAGGGGAGACGCAGGGAGGCGGGGGGGGAGGCGAGGGGGGGACACGTGGAGACACGGGGATGCAGCTTGTGAGTGCTGACCCAACCCCCTGAGTGGAACGACACAGCACCACCACCATCATCATCATCTCAGTTACTTGCCCTGCAACCATCGGGATGTCTGCAGTCTGATTTTACAGCGCACGCGCGATTCACCTTTGTATCATTTTCACGTCTTCATTCGTGACCTACAATGTATATATCTACACATATATACACCGGGTGCTTCAAACAAATGTTAACACTAACATGGAACGATCGTTTTAATGAGGGGGGGAAATAATACACCGTAACGCGATAACGAGCATAATGTTAAATTTCGATTTAAAGCTTTCGTGACTGCAAGGATTCATCTTCTTGGGTTCTTTCGGTAAAGAATGGATGTGTATGCTTTGACTTTAACACAGCCATTTCTGTGACCAGTCACAAGCTAATCACTCAGCTATTTCAATGCTAAATTCTATGCTAATTCCTTTGTCAAGGCGCTCTGTTTCTTCTCACACAGCTTAAAGGTCGCGGTCTGAGCTTGGCTGTGTTCGCTCCGGCGCTGTCCTCCAGACAGTCTCGTCCCACCACCTGATGAAGGCCGCTTGTGTTGTGGCCGAAACGTCTTGAGAATTTTATCGCGTCATTTTATTCTATCAATTTATTATTTTATTCTCATTCTACGTGGTGGTGGTGACTTTACCGAAAGAACCAAAGAAGGAGCATAATGTTCACCTCCCACTGGCTGTCAACGCGTTGCCTGGAATCTTCTCCAGGAGGTCCCCCGGGGAGCCCAGAGGCGGCGCGTTCTATCCGCAGGCATTGTTAGCAGATTTCTCGGAAGCGGTTTAACAAAAAAAAAGATTTTTTTCGTTTTTTTTTAAAGCACCCCTTGCGCATTGTAGGCGTCCTTCCCCGCTCGCGCGACGTCACAACGCCTTTCCGGGGGAACCGCGTGTTGGCAACGACTTGCGTCGCGACGGAAACGCCGAGATTTTGATTCGTTTCATTTCATCGCCAACCACGTGAATTTAAATTTCGATGTAAAGCTTTCGTGACCGCAAGGATTCATCTTCTTCTTTGGTTCTTTCGGTAAAGTCACCGCCGCGTAGAATGAGAATAAAATAATAAATTGATGAAATTAAATAACGCGATAATATTCTCACGACGTTTCGGCCACGACATAAGCGGCCTTCATCAGGTGAAGGGACGAGACTGTCTGGTAGGACAGCGCTGGAGTGAAAAAGGCACGCTCAGATCGCGACCTTTAAGCTGTGTGAGAAGAAACAAAGCGCCTTGACAAAGGAATTAGCATAGAATTTGGCATTGAAATAGCTGAGTGACTAGCTTGTGACTGGTCACAGAAATGGCTGTGTTAAAGTTAAAGCATACACATCCGCAGAGGCACCCCTTGACAAAGGAATTAGCATAGAATTTAGCATTGAAATAGCTGAGTGATTAGCTTGTGACTGGTCACAGAAATGGCTATGTTAAAGTCAAAGCATACACATCCGCAGAGGCACCCCTTGACAAACGAATTAGCATAGAATTTAGCATTGAAATGGCTGAGTGACTAGCTTGTGACTGGTCACAGAAATGGCTATGTTAAAGTAAAAGCATACACATCCGCAGAGGCACCCCTTGACAAAGGAATTAGCATAGAATTTAGCATTTAAATGGCTGAGTAACTTTACCGAAAGGACCAGAGAGTAAGCCGATCGCGTTTTCAATGCACGCGCACGATGCGCACACGCACGCTCGGGACAGGAACAATAGTTAGTTATCGTCGGTCTGGATGTTTCTGGCAATAAATTTCAAACAGTGCGAAGATAGATTTTTAAGTTGCGCAAAAACAATCGAATGAACGCTGCGAGGCTCCGCAGGGTCGGCGGACTTGCGAACCCCTCGACTTATGAATCCTCGACTTATGAATCCTCGACTTATGAATCCTCTACTTATGAATCCTCTACTTATGAATCCTCTACTTATGAATCCTCTACTTATCAATCCTCTACTTATCAATCCTCTACTTATGAATCCTCGACTTATGAATGCTCGACTTATGAATCCTCTACTTATGAATCCTCTACTTATGAATCCTCGACTCATGAATCCTCTACTTATGAATCCTCGACTCATGAATCCTCTACTTATGAATCCTCGATTCATGAATCCTCTACTTATGAATCCTCTACTTATGAATCCTCGACTTATGAATCCTCGACTCATGAATCCTCGACTCATGAATCCTCGACTTATGAATCCTCTACTTATGAATCCTCTACTTATGAATCCTCGACTTATGAATCCTCGACTCATGAATCCTCTACTTATGAATCCTCGACTCATGAATCCTCTACTCATGAATCCTCTACTTATGAATCCTCTACTTATGAATCCTCGACTTATGAATCCTCGACTTTCGAACGCTCGACTTGCGAACTCTCGACTTGCGAACGCTCAGCGATACTTTCCTCCAGGAATGCGTCTACCGCTTCCGCGTTTAGCGAGGGAGGGTGGTAAGGGGGGGTGGGGGGTGAGGGATCCGACTAAGACTATTTCCCCGGCTGCCCCGGCTGCCCCGGCTGCCCCGGTTGCCCCGGCTGCCCCGGCTGCCCCGGCTGCCCCGGCTGCCCCGGCTGCCCCGGCTGCCCCGGCTGCCCCGTCCTCTCGGTGGGGCCCCCGGACCTTCTTGACGAGGATGGTGAGTCCCTGGTACTTGAACGGCTTGGAGAACTCAATGTACTGCGCCCGCTCGTTGTTGATGGTGAGGGGCGCCACGATCGTGTCCGCCTGCCCCATCAGCAGCTCCCCCATCATGCCGTTCCACTCCTTCTTGTTGCTGTTGTTCACCTGCGGAGTGGCGAGCGCCGACAGCGGAGGCGTGCACAACGCGCAACAACAACAGCAGCAACAACAACAGCAGCAGCAGCAGCAACAACAACCAGTTTAACACGTAGGAGGCTTTCGCGACCAATATTATTCATAATAAAGGTTTTTGGGTTAGATCGCGTTTATTTATAAATGTGTCGTAACCCTCCACCACCCGACACGGCCAATCAGCAAAATAAACTGTCACGTTGACAAAAGACAAATAATTCACTACTTTAGCCCACCGGTGTGTTGAAGAGTGAATCCACAACATTTACAGTTTGAGTACGAAGTTTCGCTGGTAAATACATCCAGCATCATCGGGTAATTCGCCAGAATGGTAAAGCCCTCGCTTGCTCCCGGTTTTATATAGCGCAGCAGCAGGGTGACGTCATCACTTAACTCATATCAGGTGCAGTGATTAGAGGCGGAGGGGGGGGTATTGTAATTATATAATCGATTAGTAATCAGTACTGCGTTTGGTATTACCTTTGAATCTCTGCACCTTTTGAGGAACGCCAGTGAAGATATCAATTTCATCCGCTTAATGCGAAGCTTCTCCAATTTTCTGCTTTTAAGAAAAGTATCCTCCCCACAGAGGTTAGCCAGCGAAACGTCGTACCCCAAACTGTAAATGTGGATTCACTCTTCAACACACCGGTGGGCTAAAGCAGTGAACTATTTGTCTTGTGTCAACGTGACACTTTTTTTTGCCGATTGGCCGTGTCGGGTGGTGGAGGGTTACGACACATTTATAAATAAACGCGATCTAACCCCAAAAACCTTTATTATGAAAAACAACAACAAACAGCCACCACCACGCAGCGCCACCTCTCACCCGCTCCTGTGTGCCGAACTTGCCGTCGTGCACGAGGTGGACGTCGTAGGTGAAGTTGAGGTTGTTGGCCAGCTTGATGAGGAGGTCCACGCAGAAGCCATAGCAGCACTGCGGCACGATGGGCCGTCCTGCCGCCACGCAACGAACAGCGCCGCCAGCGGAGGGCAGCGGCCGCCACTATCACTCCACTGCTGGATGGGAACGCCGCCGCTGGCCGCAAATGGCACCCACCCACCAGCCAACCCACCCACCAGCCACCCCCGTCCTCGTCCCCACCGCCAGGCCTCCCCACAACACCAGCCCCCCCACACCACTGACCCACCCCATCAGCCCTCCCTACCAACCACCCTCACCAAATCCCCCCCCCCCCCCCACACCACTGACCCACCCACCCCACCAACCCTCCCCACCAACCACCCTCACCAAATCCCCCCCCCACACCACTGACCCACCCACCCCACCAACCCTCCCCACCAACCACCCTCACCAAATCCCCCCCACACCACTGACCCACCCCATCAGCCCTCCCCACCAACCACCCTCACCAACCGCCCCCCCCCCACACCACTGACCCACCCACCCCACCAACCCTCCTCACCAACCACCCCCACCAACCCTCCCCATACTACTGACCCCACCCACCAACCACCCCCCCCCCCCCCCGCACACACACGACACCCCGACCATGTTTTGTGGTTGTTTGTCCACGCGTTGTGGTGTGGTTGTGGTGTGGTCGTTGTGTCACCTGGAAGGGTGTGGTTGTTGTGGTGTGGTTGCGTTGTGGTTATTGTGGTTGTTGTGTCACCTGGAATGGTGTGGTTGTTGTTGTTGTGGCGTGGTTGTTGTGTAACCTGGAAGGGTGTGGTTGTTGTTGTTGTGGCGTGGTTGCGTTGTGGTTGTTGTGGTTGTTGTGTCACCTGGAAGGGTGTGGTTGTTGTTATTGTGGCGTGGTTGCGTTGTGGTTGTTGTGGTTGCGTTGTGGTCGTTGTGTCACCTGGAAGGGTGTGGTTGTTGTTGTGTCCACGTGTTGTGGCGTGGTTGTGGTGTGGTCGTTGTGTCACCTGGAAGGGCGTGGTTGCGTTGTGGTTGTTGTGGTTGTTGTGTCACCTGGAAGGGTGGTTGTTGTGGTGTGGTTGCGTTGTGGTTATTGTGTCACCTGGAAGGGTGTGGTTGTTGTTGTTGTGGCGTGGTTGCGTTGTGGTTGTTGTGGTTGTTGTGTCACCTGGCAGGGTGGTTGTTGTTGTTGGTGTGGCGTGGTTGCGTTGTGGTTGTTGTGGTTGTTGTGTCACCTGGAAGGGTGTGGTTGTTGTTGTTGTGGCGTGGTTGCGTTGTGGTTGTTGTGGTTATTGTGTCACCTGGAAGAGTGGTTGTAGGTTGTTGTTGTGGCGTGGTTGTGTTGTGGATGTTGTGGTTGTTGTGGTTGTTGTGGTTGCGTTGTGGTTGTTGTGGTTGTTGTGTCACCTGGCAGGGTGTGGTTGTTGTTGTTGTTGTTGTTGTGGTTGTTGTTGTGGTTGTTGTGGTTGTTGTGTCACCTGGCAGGGTGTGGTTGTTGTGGTTGTTATTGTGGTTGTTGTTGTGGTTGTTGTGGTTGTTGTGTCACCTGGCAGGGTGTGGTTGTTGTGGTTGTTGTTGTTGTGGCGTGGTTGCGTTGTGGTTGTTGTGGTTGTTGTGTCACCTGGCAGGGTGTGGTTGTTGTGGTTGTTGTTGTTGCGTGGTTGCGTTGTGGTTGTTGTGGTTGTTGTGTCACCTGGCAGGGTGTGGTTGTTGTGGTTGTTGTTGTTGTGGCGTGGTTGCGTTGTGGTTGTTGTGGTTGTTGTGGTTGTTGTGTCACCTGGCAGGGTGTTGTTGGGCCCCATGCAGATGACCTTCTGGATGGTGTCGCCGAAGATGGTGAGCTCCTTCTTGCAGGTGCCATCCTTCAGGGTCGGCTTCACGTAGACAAACGGCTCCTGGTGGATCGTGACGATCTGGCGGCGTCGTCACCGTCGTCATCATCGTTGTAGTCATCATCATCATTGTAGTCGTCGTCATCGTCGTCATCATCGTTGCAGTGATCATCATCATTGTAGTCGTCGTCATCGTCGTCATCATCGTTGTAGTCATCATCATCATCATTGTTGTCGTCGTCATCACCGTTGTAGTCATCATCATCATCATTGTAGTCGTCGTCGTCGTCGTCATCATCGTTGTCGTCATCATCATCATCATTGTAGTCGTCGTCATCGTCGTCATCATCGTTGTCGTCGTCATTGTAGTCGTCATCATCGTCGTCATCATCGTTGTAGTCATCATCATCATCATCATTGTAGTCGTCGTCATCGTCATCATCATCGTTGTCGTCGTCGTTATTGTAGTCGTCGTCATCATCGTCATCATCGTTGTCGTCGTCATTGTAGTCGTCGTCATCGTCGTCATCATCGTTGTCGTCATCGTCGTCATCGTCGTCGTCGTCACCGTCGTCACCACCGTCGTCATCATCATTGTCGTCACCATCGTCGTCACCGTCGTCAACATCGTCGTCATCATCATTGTCATTGTTGTCACCATCGTCGTCATCATTGTCGTCATCATTGTCGTCACCATCGTCGTCATCACCGTCATCACCATTGTTGTCGTCACCATCATTGTCGTCGTCATCACCATCGTCACAGTCGTCATCATCGTCGTCGTCACCGTCGTCATCGTCGTCATTGTCGTCATCATCGTCGTCACCATCATCATCATCACCGTCGTCACCATCGTTGTCGTCATCATTGTCATCATCGTTGTCGTCATGATTGTCGTCACCATCGTCGTCATCACCGTCGTCACCATCGTTGTCGTCACCATCATTGTCGTCGTCACTGTCGTCACCGTCGTCACCGTCGTCATCATCATCGTCGTCATCATCGTCACTGTCGTCATCATCGTCGTCATCGTCATCACCGTCATCATCGTCATCATCATCGTCATCATCATCGTTACTGTCGTCATCATCATCGTCATCATCATCGTCATCATCATCACCATCGTCATCATCGTCGTAGTCATTATCATCGTCACCATCGTCACTGTCGTCGTCGTCATCATCATCGTCTTCAATATCATCATCATCGTCGTCATCATGAACGTCATCATCATCCTCAACACCATCATCATCACCAGTATCATCACCATCATCATCAGCATAATCCTCAACATCATCACCAGTATCACCATCACCAGCATCCTCAACACCATCAACACCATCATCGTCGTCACCAGCACTATCATCCTCACCATCATTATCGTCAGCTTTGACATCACTACCATCACAATCGTCATGTTCTCTTACCATCACCAACATCACCACCACCACCAACATCATCACCATCGCTATCATCATTATGATCGCTATCATCACCAACATCACCACCATCATCACCATCATTATCATCGCTATCATCACCAACATCACCACCACCATCATCATCATCGCTATCATCACAAACATCACCACTATCATCACCATCATCACCAACATCACCACCACCATCATCACGATCATTATCATCGCTATCATCACCAACATCACCACCACCATCATCACCATCATCACCAACATCACCACCACCATCGCTATCATCACCAACATCACCACCACCATCATCATCATCGCTATCATCACCAACATCACCATCATCACCATCATCATCGCTATCATCACCAACATCACCACCACCATCATCACCATCGCTATCATCACCAACATCACCACCACCATCATCACCATCGCTATCATCGCCAACATCACCATCACCAGTATCGCCATCATCATCGTCACCATCATCATTGTGGACACCATCATCAGCATAATCATCAACATCACCAGCATCCTCAACACCATCAACACCATCAACGTCACTGATGTGTGCGCTTTGAAGAGCACCTTGAGTTTGGTTGACATCTTGAACCCGTCTGGGATGACCTTGCCCCCTCCGGGCCAGACGATGTCCTTGTCGTTGACCTGAGCCTGGGGCGGTCAGGGTCAAGGTCAAGGTGAATGTTGTCATTTTAGAGATCAGAATGTCGTTTATTACTGGGAGAGACGGGGGGGGGGAGAGGAGGGGGGAGGAGGAGGGGGGGAGGGAGGGAGGGAGGGGGGAGAGGAGGGGAGGGAGGGAGGGAGGGAGGGAGAGGAGGAGGGAGGAGGGGAGGAGGAGGAGGGAGGGAGGGAGAAGAGGAGGGAGGAGGGGAGGGAGGAGGGAGGGGGCGGTGAGAGGGAGGGAGTGGAGGTGGGAGGGAGGGAGAGGAGAGGAGGGGGAGGGAGAGGAGGGGGAGGGAGAGGAGGGGGGAGGAGGGAGGGAGGGGGGAGGGAGGGAGGGAGGGGGGGAGGGAGGGAGGGAGAGGAGGGGAGGGAGGGAGAGGAGGGGAGGGAGGGAGAGGAGGGGAGGGAGGGAGAGGAGGGAGGGAGAGGAGGGAAGGAGGGAGGGGGGAGGGAGAGGAGGGGGAGGAGATGGGAGGGAGAGGGCGGTGAGAGGGAGGGAGTGGAGGTGGGAGGGAGGAAGGGAGGGAGGGAGAGGAGGGGGGAGGAGGGGAGGGAGGGAGGGAGAGGAGGGGGGAGGAGGGGAGGGAGGGAGGGAGGGAGGGGAGGGAGAGGAGGGGAGGGAGGGAGGGAGAGGAGGGAGGGAGGGAGGAGAAGGGAGGATGATGGGGGAAGGAGGAGGAGGGAGGTAGGGAGCAGGGTGAAGGAGGCTGGAGGAGAGGGGGGGGGGGGGGGGCTGTAGCAGGAGAGCAGTGCTCCCCACCTTGTTCTCCTCCGTCCAGGCCCCCACGGGCACGAGGTTCCGCCCGGCCTGCAGGTTCACGAGGACGTACTCAGGGTGCCGGCGGTCGCCCTCCTCGTCGAACTCCACGCGCCCAGTGAGGCCCTCCTTGAGGCTGGCCGACAGCAGGTACCTTGCGCGGAGGCAAAGGGGGGGGGGGGCGGGGCGTCCGTAAATGACGTCACGCGATTTTTTACCCTCGGCCCCCCCCCCCCTTCAAATATGACGTAACAAAGCTCTGCACCCACCCCCCCCCCCAAAAAAAAATAACGTGCTTCAAATCGCTTTAAACTATTGTTGTCATTGTAGTAGTTGTGTATTTAATGTGGCGCTAGCACTCTGATGTTGTAGGAAGAAAACTTTTATTAAAAATAAATATTTAATTAAGTAGAACGTGTTGTGTCTATGTTTTGTTGCGCATTTTCGATGTGACGTCGCAATGTTGACGTGACGTCACATTTCTCTGACCCCTCCCCCCCCCCCCAGGTGCGTGACGTCATTTATGGACGGCCCCAAAGGTGCCAGGCCACCCCCCCCCCCCCCCCCCGCCCACCACCCCCCCGCCCACCACCCCGGATCGCCTTGAGCAGCATGCCGCTTTGGGGCAAGTGCTGTGAAGCGAGGTGGGTGGGTGGCCAGCGGGCACGCGCCTTGACCCCGTGACCCCGTGACCCCGGATTTCGTCTCCCCGGAATGGTGCCGAGGGGATAAGGCGGAGGAGCAGGGAAGGAGGTGGAGGAGGAGGATGATGGAGGATGAGGAGGGGGAGCAGGAGAGATGATGGCGGAGGATGTAGGAGGAGGAGAGAGGGAAGGAGTGGAGGGATGGATGGATGGGAGGGGTGGAGGCAGTGGGCGTAGGGAAGGGAGGGAGTAAAGGGAATGGATGGAGGGAGTGGAGTTGGATGGAGGGAGGGGAGGGAGAGAGTGAGGAAATGGAGAGAGGGATGGAGCGAGTGGAGGGAGCGGAGCTGAGTGGAGTGGAGCTGAGTGGAGCTGAGTGGAGTGGTGTGGAGTGGAGTGGAGCTGAGTGGAGTGGTGTGGAGCGGAGCGGTGTGGAGTTGAGCTGAGTGGAGCTGAGTGGAGTTGAGTGAAGTGGAGTTGAGCTGAGTGGAGCTGAGTGGAGCTGAGTGGCGCTGAGTGGAGTGGACCTGAGTTGAGCTGAGTGGAGCTGAGTGGAGCTGAGTGGAGTGGAGTGGAGCGGAGTGGATGGAGTGAGTGGAGCGGAGCTGAGTGGAGTTAAGTGGAGCGGAGCGGAGCGGATGGAGTGAGTGGAGCGGAGCTGAGTGGAGTTGAGTGGAGCTGAGGGGAGTGGAGCTGAGTGGAGTGGAGCTGAGTGGAGTGGAGCGGAGCTGAGTGGAGTGGAGCTGAGTGGAGTTGAGCGGAGCTGAGTGGAGTGGAGCTGAGCGGAGTTGAGTGGAGCTGAGGGGAGTGGAGTTGAGTGGAGCGGAGCGGATGGAGTGAGTGAAGCTGAGTGGAGCTGAGTGGAGCGGAGTGGAGCGCAGCGGATGGAGTGAGTGGAGCTGAGTGGAGTGGAGCGGAGCGGTGTGGAATTGAGCTGAGTGGAGCTGAGTGGAGTTGAGTGGAGTGGAGTTGAGCTGAGTGGAGCTGAGTGGAGCTGAGTGGAGCTGAGTGGAGCTGAGTGGAGTGGACCTGAGTTGAGCTGAGTGGAGCTGAGTGGAGCTGAGTGGAGTGGAGTGGAGCGGAGTGGAGTTAAGTGGAGCGGAGCGGAGCGGAGCGGATGGAGCGAGTGGAGCGGAGCTGAGTGGAGTTGAGTGGAGCTGAGGGGAGTGGAGCTGAGTGGAGTGGAGCTGAGTGGAGTGGAGCGGAGCTGAGTGGAGTGGAGCTGAGTGGAGTGGAGCGGAGCTGAGTGGAGTGGAGCTGAGCGGAGTTGAGTGGAGCTGAGGGGAGTGGAGTTGAGTGGCGCGGAGCGGATGGAGTGAGTGAAGCTGAGTGGAGCTGAGTGGAGCGGAGTGGAGCGCAGCAGATGGAGTAAGTGGAGCTGAGTGGAGTGGAGCGGAGCGGATGGAGTGAGCGGAGCGGATGGAGTGAGCGGAGCGGATGGAGTGAGCTGAGTGGAGCCGCGTGGAGTGGAGCTGAGCGGAGCGGAGCGGAGCTGAGTGGAGTTAAGTTGAGCTAAGTGGAGCGGAGCGGATGGAGTGAGTGGAGCTGAGTGGAGCTGAGTGGAGTGGAGCTGAGTGGAGTGGAGCTGAGTGGAGCCGCGTGGAGTGGAGCTGAGCGGAGCGGAGCGGATGGAGTGAGTGGGGCTGAGTGGAGCTGAGTGGAGTGGAGCTGAGTGGAGTGGAGCTGAGTGGAGTGGAGCTGAGTGGAGTGGAGCTGAGTGGAGCGGATGGAGTGAGTGGAGTTGCATGGAGTGGAGCTGAGTTGAGTGGAGCTGAGTGGAGCGGATGGAGTGAGTGGAGTTGCATGGAGTGGAGCTGAGTGGGGCTGAGTGGAGTTGCGTGGAGCTGAGTGGAGCCGCGTGGAGCTGAGCTGAGCTGAGCGGAGCGGAGCGGAGGCTTCGGGCTGAAAGTTTGGGAGTGGAGTGGGAGGTCCCCCGTGGGCCGGGCCGAGCGAGTCCGAGCGAGTCCGAGCGAGTCCGAGCGAGTCCGAGCCTCACCGGTTGAGCGTGAGGCCTCCCTTCCACACGGCCGTGTTGCCCACACAGCCCCGCGGGGGCTCGCTGACGTTCTCCCTCTCCGTCGCCTCCTTGATGGAGTGGGCGAGCAACGCCACCGCGTCGCGGATGTGGGCACTCTCGTTGGAGCCGTGCTGCAGCTGCAGGCCCAGCAGCCCTGGTGGGGGGGGAGGGGAGGGGGGGAGGGGGGAGGGGGGGAGGGGGGGGAGGGGGGGAGGGGGATCAAGATTATGGAGGGGGATCAAGATTATGGAGGGGGGATCAAGATTATGGAGGGGGAGGGGGGATCAAGATTATGGAGGGGGATCAAGATTATGGAGGGGGATCAAGATTATGGAGGGGGGATCAAGATTATGGAGGGGGAGGGGGGATCAAGGTTATGGAGGGGGAGGGGGATCAAGATTATGGAGGGGGAGGGAGGATCAAGATTATGGAGGGGGAGGGGGATCAAGATTATGGAGGGGGAGGGGGATCAAGATTATGGAGGGGGATCAAGATTATGGAGGGGGAGGGGGGATCAAGGTTATGGAGGGGGAGGGGGATCAAGGTTATGGAGGGGGAGGGGGGATCAAGATTATGGAGGGGGAGGGGGATCAAGATTATGGAGGGGGAGGGGGATCAAGATTATGGAGGGGGATCAAGATTATGGAGGGGGAGGGGAAGGGGGGATCAAGGTTATGGAGGGGGATCAAGGTTATGGAGGGGGAGGGGGGGTCTAGGTTATGGAGGGTGAGGGGGGATCAAGATTATGGAGGGGGAGGGGAGGGAGGATCAATGTTATGGAGGGGAGGGGGAGGGGGGATCAAGATTATGGAGGGGGATGGGGAGGGGGATCAAGGTTATGGAGGGGGAGGGGAGGGGGGATCAATGTTATGGAGGGGAGGGGGATCAAGGTTATGGAGGGGGAGGGAGGGGGTTTGGGTGGAGTGGTATTCAAGGCAGGATCGGCCGATGTGGAAGGGAGGTCAAGGTGGAGTGGAGGTCAAGGGTGGGATCAGCGTTGTGTCAAGGTGGGGTCAACGTGAGGTCAACGTGAGGTCAACGTGGCGGGGTTCGGGGGGAGGGAAGTGTGAGGGGTGGTGGGGTGGGTGGGGGGGTTGGGTGGATGAGGCGTGTGTGTGTGTGGGTGGGGTGTGGGTGGGGTGTGTGTGTGGGTGGGGTGTGGGTGGGGTGTGGGTGTGGGTGGGGTGTGGGTGGGGTGTGGGTGTGGGTGGGGTGTGGGTGGTGTGTGGGTGGGGGGTGTGGGTGGGGTGTGGGTGTGGGGGGTGGGGGTGTGGTGGGGGGGTGTGGTGTGGGTGTGGGGGGGGTGTGTGGGGTGTGGGTGTGGGTGGGGTGTGGGTGGGGTGTGGGTGTGTGGGGTGTGGGTGGGGTGTGGGTGTGGGGTGTGTGGGTGGGGTGTGGGTGTGGGTGGGGTGTGGGTGGGGTGTGGGTGTGGGGTGTGTGGGTGGGGTGTGGGTGGGGTGTGGGTGTGGGGTGTGGGTGGGGTGTGGGTGTGGGGTGTGGGTGGGGTGTGGGTGGGGTGTGGGGTGTGGGTGGGGTGTGTGTGTGAGGTGTGTGTGTGTGAGGCGTGTGTGTGCGTGTGTGTGTGTGTGAGGCGTGTGAGGTGTGTGTGTGTGTGTGGGTGAGGTGTGTGTGTGTGAGGCGTGTGTGTGTGTGTGTGAGGTGTGTGTGTGTGTGAGGTGTGTGTGTGTGGCGTGTGTGTGTGTGTGTGAGGTGTGTGTGTGTGTGTGAGGCGTGTGTGTGTGTGTGTGAGGCGTGCGTGTGGGTGGGGTGTGTGTGTGTGAGGCGTGTGAGGTGTGTGTGTGTGGGGTGTGTGTGTGTGTGTGGCGTGTGTGTGTGTGTGTTAGGCGTGTGTGTGTGTGTGTGAGGCGTGTGTGTGCGTGTGGGTGGTCACCTTCAGGCGCGTTGACCAGTGCCGCGGGCGAGACCTCCCTCTCGCCCACGAGCCACACGTAGCCGCTGCCCGTCATGTTGAGGAGCGCCGCGTCGCGGTAAACCGTGGACGCGTCCTCGGCCCTGGAAAACGTCGCCACGGCATCACCGCTTGACCCTCGCAAGAGGAACTGAACTTTGACTAGCTCTTTATTCTAAAGTTCGTTCGGAAAAGTCACGTCGGTAGAAAATGAAATGATAAAATAATAAAATTTAATAAAAATAATAAAATAAGATACAAAAAATACGATTGAATATAAAATAAAGAAACTGTCGTGGGTTTTTTTTGCGTTTATTTTTATATTTTAATTTTATTTAATTTTTTTACTTTATTATCTATCTATGTGACTTCACCAGACGCACCAAGAATATGAATTCCTGCAGTCGCGAAAGTTTTAAGTCGAAATTTTGCGACTGTTTAGCATTTTGTATATCCTTCCCCCCGGTATAATGCCCACCGAGTTGCTATTATACGCAGTGCCGGATGAAGCAAGTGCCTGGCCTCTAGCACTTGTTATAAAGGCCCCCTAAACAAATAAATAAACACATAAATATTAAAACACAATGGTCTTTTTCACTTGCATAGTAAAGCAATTTGTATTTCATCATTTGCCATACGGCCAGATAATACGACAAATCGCTGACCCTAAACGCCCGGTCGTTCGTATAAGTCGAAGGCGGTGTAGTACTATAGTAATAGAGCAAGTGCAGAATCATTGAACCAGGAATTGATAGCTTGAAAGCGTTTAGCGCGGGGCCCTTGAAAGTGCGGGGCCCGTAGCTACTACATTTGTAGCTACTACACGTGTAGTAGCTACTACACTACTACACGTGTAGTAGCTACTACACTACTACACGTGTAGTAGCTACTACACTACTACACGTGTAGTAGCTACTACACTACTACACGTGTAGTAGCTACTACACTACTACACGTGTAGTAGCGACTACACTACTACACGTGTAGTAGCTACTACACTACTACACGTGTAGTAGCTACTACACTACTACACGTGTAGTAGCTACTACACTACTACACGTGTAGTAGCTACTACATTTGTAGCTACTACACGTGTAGTAACTACTACACTACTACACGTGTAGTAGCTACTACACTACTACACGTGTAGTAGCTACTACACTACTACACGTGTAGTAGCTACTACACTGCTACACGTGTAGTAGCTACTACACTACTACACGTGTAGTAGCTACTACACTACTACACGTGTAGTAGCTACTACACTACTACACGTGTAGTAGCTACTACACTACTACACGTGTAGTAGCTACTACACTACTACACGTGTAGTAGCTACTACACTACTACACGTGTAGTAGCTACTACACTACTACACGTGTAGTAGCTACTACACTACTACACGTGTAGTAGCTACTACACTACTACACGTGTAGTAGCTACTACATTTGTAGCTACTACACGTGTAGTAACTACTACACTACTACACGTGTAGTAGCTACTACACTACTACACGTGTAGTAGCTACTACACTACTACACGTGTAGTAGCTACTACACTACTACACGTGTAGTAGCTACTACACTACTACACGTGTAGTAGCTACTACACTACTACACGTGTAGTAGCTACTACACTACTACACGTGTAGTAGCTACTACACTACTACACGTGTAGTAGCTACTACATTTGTAGCTACTACACGTGTAGTAACTACTACACTACTACACGTGTAGTAGCTACTACACTACTACACGTGTAGTAGCTACTACACGTGTAGTAACTACTACACTACTACACGTGTAGTAGCTACTACACTACTACACGTGTAGTAGTAGCTACTACATTTGTAGCTACTACTACACGTGTAGTAGCTACTACGTTTGCAGCGACTTTTGCTGCTAGGAGAATCCGGCACCGACCAGAATCCAGTGCCGGATTTCTTCAGCTATCAGTACAATTATACATCGCCACACGATAGCTGAACGAAGTGGCCTTGCCATCGTCGCGCGGAATCACAGATCATCGCCAGCAGCTGCAGCCAGGTTGCCTTAAACGCGCACACGGGTTCTTGATGTGGAGGGGGGGGGAAACCGGGAGGGCCCGGAGCAAAATCCACGCAACGACCACGGAGAGCGGACGACTCAGAGAGAGAGAGAGTGAGAGGATGACTCAGAGAGAGAGAGTGGACGACTCAGAGAGAGAGTGGACGACTCAGAGAGAGAGAGGATGACTCAGAGAGAGAGAGGATGACTCAGAGAGAGAGTGGACGACTCAGAGAGAGAGAGAAAGAGAGGATGACTCAGAGAGAGAGTGGACGACTCAGAGAGAGGACGACTCAGAGAGAGAGAGTGGACGACTCGGAGAGAGAGGGTGACTCAGAGAGAGTGAGAGAGAGAGGATGACTCAGAGAGAGAGTGGACGACTCAGAGAGAGAGTGAGAGAGAGTGGACGACTCAGAGAGAGAGAGAAAGAGAGGATGACTCAGAGAGAGAGTGGACGACTCAGAGAGAGGACGACTCAGAGAGAGAGAGAGGACGACTCAGAGAGAGCGGACGACTCAGAGAGAGAGAGTGAGAGGATGACTCAGAGAGAGAGTGAGAGAGAGAGGACGACTCAGAGAGAGAGTGGACGACTCAGAGAGAGAGAGGATGACTCAGAGAGAGAGGACGACTCAGAGAGAGACAGGATGACTCAGAGAGAGAGAGAGGACGACTCAGAGAGAGAGAATGACTCAGAGAGAGAGAGGACGACTCAGAGGCGCAAGAAGGAGGAACCACAGACGAGCTGGAAGGCAACAGCAGCAGCCACGCGGCGGTGGGGAGGAGCCGGCGCTGCCAACAGCTTCCCAAGCTCTGCCATCCTCTATGCATTAAGGTGTCACCGGCCAATGAATGAGCGTCTACACATGGGAGGAAACCGGAGCTCCCAGAGAAGACCCCCACCCCTCCCCCCCACCGTACAGACAGAATGGGCGGAGTCCACATTTTCGCCCCAGAGCCAGGGGGAAGACTGCTCCTCCTCGACACCCACCCACGGGACAAGGGGAACCTCCACAACCCCATCTGTGCGTGATCCACCAGCCCCACCGCTTCCGCGTCCGCGGTGCTGGATAAGAGGCGGCCACGTGCATGGCTACGTCCACGCGTCCTCTGACGGGGGCTGGTGATGACGCTGGCGAGAAGTTGGGTAACGTCTAAGTCTCATGGTGGTGGTGGCGGTGGTGGTGATGCAGGTGATGTTCCTCACTCAGCCACCAGGAGAATGACCCTGGCCTCCACCTCCCGCGCCTCGCTCAGAAGCAACGTGACGTTCTTCGATCCAGGCGGGAACAGAATGGTCTTCTCCGTCTGGGAATGAGAACAGCGCTCAGCCGAGTTCCACGTTCCCCACACCCTGATCCCAGCACCTTGAAATCCGTGATTCCACCTGCCCCTGATCCCAGCTTCCAGATCACTTGGTCTCTGGCTTCACGTCTCCCGAATCCCATAGATTAATTGATCAATATCCACGCTCAAAGCTCCACGGCTCCCCGATTTCGGGAGTCAAAGCATCTGTGCCTTGGACGCTCCTGGAGCAGGAGAATAAGGGGAATTCAGCTGCACGTATTTAAACCGTCGGTGTCCATTGTAAAATAGGCCCGTGTCTCCGAATTAATATTTGCCTCACGATAAACAAAGGTCATCTTTGGTGACCCACAGGCTTTGTGGCTCAGCGGTTGTTGCACCTGGACACTCTGGGGTTCTGTAGAAACGAGAACTCTGAGATTATATGGCCTGGGCACCTGGAGATTACGGAAACTCTAAAAACAGAGTGACCTTGATTTTTTTTTTCAGAGACTCATAGATTCTAGAAACTTGCAGTATCGACTCAACCCAGAGATCCCGGGAGTCAGATGCTGAAGGGATCAAGGGACACTTGGGGATTCGGAGATACTGGAAGCAAGATACCCATGGACTCAAGAAGGACTCGTACACCCAGTAAATCAGGGACTCGGACACTTGCATGAGGTTCTGAGCTTCACTTTTTTGCCGACACACGGGAGATGCTTTCGCGAGGCACAGTCCATCACCATCCCTTATTTTGAACCAAATGACAACCCTCGAGATTGATCATCCTTGATCATTCAAGCCACAGTCGAACCAAAGTCAATAGTTTGAATGAACTAACTATAACTATCTCAAACTAACTAATTCACTATTCAGGTTCCATTGCCCAGGTAGCCACGAAGAAATGTATCAAGCGGCGACTCTGGGCCTTGCCACCGTGTGCCCCAAGATGGCTGCCGCTGACCAATCATTGTGGCAGGTGCGGTGCAGCTTGTATGTCTCCGTGCGCCAATCGGTGCATCCGTTACTAGAATTCCAATGCGATCGCTTCTGCTATTCTGAAAGTGAACAACAGTTTCCCGATCACGGTCGAACAACCCGCGTTTGAATCCCGTTAGGGGAGACAACGGGGGAAACGGGGTAAAGTGGAAAAGCCGTCACGACAACTGATGAGGGTATGACCTCTCTGCCTTCGAAATTGCGAGTCTAAAGTGCCCTATGCATGGCACCACCCAGGCCACACGACTATCATCAATACCCCCAGCAGAATCACCGGACACCTGGCGTCAAGAAACCAACCTCTCGACTAGCGAGCTGCGTTTGCTCAATGGTGAGGCCACGACCTTGAGCTCGCCGCCACTTTATGCAGACTCGGATCATTTATCGCAAGGGTCACCCATGAAGCAATGCCTTCTGTTTCAACTTCCTCCTATGAAACGCCACGTGGCATGAAGGCAAAATGGCGGTCCTTTGGGAATGCACAAAAAATGCTGCTGCTTGCCCGGTTTCGTCTACAGTCAGCAGGTGGCGGTATACAGGCGGTAGATAAAAATGGCCGCCAGTAGTGGAGCAGAGAGGCGCTATAGGGCTAGGGTTGCCAATGGTGGTGTAGCGGGGGATCAGGCTTTTAAGGTAGCTATCGAGTGTGCAGGCAGTGCAACTCCACCAGGGCCTGTGGACGGGAGAGACACAGACAGCCGGGTAATTTTCACATCTCTCTCTCACACCTGGCCAAAAAAGTATGTAACTCGAGGCCAATCGACCGAATGTGTTGGACGACAGTGCGTGGTTTCCTTTCAACAGCCATACATTCGTAAAACATCAAAAGTGCCGGCATATTCTAGTGTTCCCCATGAGTGACAGTTTCAGATCTGCTCTACCAAACTTTTAACATTGATAACATAAGGCATTGCTTTTCAGGTGACTGTCATGATGCCAACACAATAATAATAACAATATAATACACAGTATGCCATTGCGTTGTGCTCGCGTACGCGTGTGACATGCATCAGCGGCCACCTGGGGTCACCTGTGAGCATGCGGGATCACCCGGGGGTCAAGATCGAGGTGACCTCGTGCGAAGGGGAGGATGACCCCTTCAGTGACCCCAGGGTGGGTGGGTTTAGGGGTGTGGGGGAGGGGAGAGAGTGTTGGTGGGAGGGGGGGGGGGAGTTAACCGGCCTCTCTCTTAATAGTATTTACAAGGGTGGCTCAGCAGGGAATTCAAAAACCAAAAACTATATTTAAAACAACAAAATCATCCACATATTTATGAAAAATAAATATGTTGCAGCGTTAACGGAAATCAACCGGTATTGTGCTCAAAGTTGCGACGTGGGGTAGGTGGTGAGAGGGAGTTCGGGGTGAGGGCGGAAGAGGGAGATCAGGCTTTTTAAGGTTAAATAAAGGCAGGCAATCGCCACATACCTCTGCGAAGACCTGCGCGTCATTCAAATGAGATAATGCGAGCAAAAATAAATAAAAAATAACATTATCTGGCTCTCTCGGGTCCCTAAGCCCCCATCTCGCGGCGATGCCACCACGCTTCAACCAAGCTTACAGCAACCAGGCATCTGAATTGCCCTTCAAGTGGAAGTTGGCATTGGTGTGCAGTCGGTCACCTGAGCACCTGGTCTCAAACGTCCATCCTGTCCATCCTGTGACCATGAGCCAGCTGCTGGTGTCTTCATCATCGTCATCATCAACATCATCATCTTATCCCCTCCTCAATTCCAAACGGCCGTCCGCTCATTCCCGTCACTTGTAGCCAACTCCTCAAGGCAATAACGTCACCAAAAACGAACCTCTAAAGATATTGAATGATAAACACAGGAGGTGTTAAGATGTTCAAACGCCAAATGGATACCTCGTGCAAGGCATCGATTCTGCACGAACCAAACATTTGTGGCGAGCGAAACGAAATGCATGTTTCATGCCTTTGCCGCACCAGTGCTGGACCAACAGGCCGTCTTAAGGCGAATAATACAAGGACAATGCAAACACATAACACACGTATGTGTGGTTAGTGCAGAATTGGTGCCTTGTTATAAGAGTGTATCTGGTGTTTGAGCATCGTAACACCGCATGAATTTATGCTGGAAAGAGCCAAAGTCTTTTTTGTTCATTCAATAGCTTCATGCTGGCGAAATGGTATCATCAAACCTCAAAGAGTCGCAGGGTGTGATAACCCTAAACCTTCTATAGCTCTAAAGTTTGATTTAAAGCTTTCGTGACTGCAGTGATTCATATTCTTGGTTCTTTCGGTAAAGTCACGTTGAAGGGAAACAATAAATTAATATATATAAAACAATGAAATCGTCACGACGTTTCGACTGCAACACAAACAGTCATCATCAGGTGTGAAACCCAACGGCAAGAACATTTGAAAGAAGTGGCGGTTTGTATTTATTTATTTATTTTAAAACGTTAGCGCCACGGATAGCGATTTGACAGTTTGTTTAGATGCTTCCCTTCAACGTGACTTTACCGAAAGATTTCGATTTAAAGCTTTCGTGACTGCAATGATTCATCTTCTTTGGTTCTTTCGGTAAAGTCACGTAGAATGAGAATAAAATAATAAATTGATAAAATAAAATAACACAATAATATTCTCACGACGTTTCAGCCACAACACAAGCGGCCTTCATCGGGTGAAGGGACGAGACTGTCTGGTAGGACAGCGCTGGAGTGAAAGAGCCACGTTCAGATCACGACCTTTAAGCTGTGTGAGAGGAAACAAAGCCCCTTGACAAAGGAATTAGCATATAATTTAGCATTGAAATGGCTGAGTGATTAGCTTTACCGAAAGAACCAAGAATATACTTCTATAGCTCACCAACTGGTCTGTCTGCTGCTTCCACAACCCAATTTTCCCTGGGTGGGTCGAGTTTTTTAGGATTCGGCATTCAATTTTTTTACCTCCGTGTCCTTGGGTTGGTTTATTAATGCCGGACTATCTTCTAAATCTGTTTTTTTGTTATCCTCTATGGTTCCGATTCCCTGGAAAGCAGACTCGTCAGACAAAAATGTCATTGACATCCTCCGCATGTAGCAGGAAAACATGCCTCTGCACCCAAATACAAGCATGCCTGTGACGCTGTGTTCCTCTGGTTTTTAATTGTGATTGAGGCTTGCTCAGCCCCCTGTTCCTCCATTACTAAGTGCTGCACTCTGCAGGGGAAGGGAAAAAGTTGTAGACCCGGCTAACAGCTCGAGGTACCGACTCCACCCGATAACCTAAAGACCACGATGCTTAAAAGCGTAATTTGGATGATTATTTTCTTAAGACCAAACAGCTCATTTCCAGGCAGATTCTCCTTGCAGATGATTTGTAAATCAGTTTTTGTCCACGGGAGGAAACCGGAGCGCCCGGGAGAAAACCAACACATGGGAAGGAGGCAACACTCAAACTCTACTTCTGTCTGTACCACCGCCTCCAGCGGGCACCTCCTCACTGGCACATCCGTGGGGTTCGGGCTGTCTAACACACACAGTACGACTGTGCATCTCCATGTGGCCTATCAACACTCTCCCCCCCCCCTCCTCTCTTCCTTTCCTAAACCTCCTCTCCATTGACTACCCCCCCCCCCCAATCTCCTCTGGTCTCTCGACCGTCCTTAGGCAAGCGTCGTGGCTCAATCCGCAAGATGGGTGCTTTTCTGGGGGGGGTGGGGGGTGGGGGGGGAAAGAGGGGGGGGGGGCTTAGGGTGGTAGTAGTTAACGCTTACCAGGAAATAACTAAAGCAAAGGGTGGAACAAAAAAAATAGACTCCGTAAAGAAAAGAAACGGAAGGAAAAAACATCGCCGAAATAAAGAAGACCAACACAAATCGAGGATGCTTCCAGGGGTTTCGTCGGCTGGGAGGCCCTCAAAGAAGCCCCCCCCCCACGGGGCCGGACGCGTGCACACGGTGGGGGCATGCCGTCTCGAAAGGGGCCACTCGCTCGCCGGAGCGGTAAGAGGTACCTTGGGTCCCGGCTCGTTGTCGGGTAAAAGGTTGTCGTAGCTCTCATAGCTCTTGAGATATTTACTCTGACGGCACGACAGGGTTGGGTTGGGGGGAGGAGGGGGGGGCGTCACGAGGTCAAATGGCATGGCCGCGCAACGAGGGGGGGGGGGGGGGGGGGGCGGGGGGATTGGAGACACATGGGGGGACACACACAGCGTCTGAATTCGTGGAGCAGTGCGCACGCGCGTGGGGTCAAGTTGCGAGTGGGTTTAGGGTGGGGGGTAGGTGGGGGGTTACAGGTGGGTAAGGTTGCGTGGGTGGGTCGGCGGGTGGGTGGGTGAGGGAGTGGTGGAGCAAGGTGTGGTTGGGTGGGGCATGGCTGTGGGTTGCTAGGGTGTTGCGTGGTGGGATGTAACCGAGGGTGTAGTTGGGTCGGGGTACAGGTGGGTAAGGTTGGGTGAGTTGGTGGGGGGATGGTTGTATAGGGTGTAGTTAAGATGTGTTAGGGTAGGGCATCGGTGTGGATCGCTCGGGTCTTGCAAGGTGGGATGTAGCTGGAGGTTTAGTTGAGTGGGAGTATGGGTGCGTAAGGTTGTGTGTGTGGTTGGGGGGATGGTTGTATAGCGTGTAGGTAAGGTGTTGTTGGGTAGGGTAGGGATGTGGTTTGGTATGGTGTGGTTCGGTAGAGTGTTGTTAGGTTGGGGTGTGGTTAAATAGGGTGTGGGTTGAGTCACTGGGTAGGGTACGATTGGGTTCAGTGTACATGGGGGTGTTTTCTGGTTGGGTGTGGAAGCATGTTGGGTGTATTGTGTCGGGTGGGGCATGGTTCAGTAGGAGGTAAGTTGGGTGGGTTTCAGGTCGGGGGTGGTTGAATGCGGTGGAATTTTGTAGGGATGGCTGGATAGGGTATGGTTCTGCAGGGTGTGGTTAAATCCGGAAGAAAGTGGTTGCCATATGGTTGAATAAGGTATGGTGGGTAGGGTGTGGTTCAGGAGGGACCAAGGTAGGTTGTGGTTGAGCATGTGTGGTTGGGCAGAATATGGGTGAGGTATGGTTGTGTAAAATATGGTTGGGTATAGGGCCAAGGTATGGTGCGGTTAGGGCGGTGGTGTGAGTGTGGGTGGATTTGATGGGACACGATGGCTGGGTTTAGTGGGTTGTGTTTCAGTTGGGGGTGTGATTGAATAATACGTCGGCGCATTTAGTATGGTTGGAATGAGCTTGATTTAATATGGACTGACACTAGGTGTTGCGGAATTAGGTTCTGGAATCAGGTTCCAGAATCGGTCAGATGTGGCTGGGCGGTTGAGTGGGACGTGCTCAATCATGCGGCGATATCGGCAGACATCAGCATCGCGTGTGTGTGTGTGTTGCACACGCTCACGCGTTCATGAATGGACGATGGGATTACGAATTATTCAAACCTCAAGACCGTGACCTTCCAACCTCACCCAAGCAGGCGATGGGCGGGCTGAGTGTTCTGTGTCGTGGTGTACAATGGAAATCGACAGCACACGTACAAAACGGGACTCGTGGTGGGAACCAGTGGTTGAGTCATGCTTCACACAGCTGGGGTGAGGACCAGGCGCACATCTTTTGATACACAGTCCGGACTTGTAGTGCAGAGGTTAGGTGCCTAATTCGTGCATTGGTGAAAAGTATCAAAGAGTAAACCAAAAATGTTCAGCTAAGTACGTTTTGCCAGATTCACATTTTACCTCTTTTTTTCCACTGCAGAGCTGGGGCCATGCCGGAGCCGTGCCGAGCCAGCATGGCGCAGGCTTAGGGAGGCACCCGTGTTGTTTTTCCACTGCAGAAGCCGGGCCGTGCCGCTGATGTCAAACGCCCAATTAATAGTTTGGTTCCGGCTCAACAGGCAGTGGAAAAAAACGCCCGTACCTTGAGGGCCCGGCACTGGCTCAGATGTGCCAGTGAGAAAGTGAAATTTCAGTTTTTGTTCTCAGCTCTGGGGCAGAATTTAGGCAGAGCCAATCCTGAGACGGGTTCGGCAGGGTGTGAGGATTTTCTCATATTTGCTTAAAACAAAAATGCCTCCAGACTGATAAGCAGATGCTTGTTTTCTGCCTTGCGAAGCCACCTATCTTGATTCTCCCAGGAATAAGGTTCTAATTTTGTACGAGTTATCCTGGTAAACAGCTAAGTGTCCTCGGGTCATTAAAAGCCCCGTTTCTTTCCTGTATTAAAATTCGCCATTGTAGCTCCCAAGCTTTGGAATGTTTTGCCCTTGTTAATGAGCCAATCGTAAACGTTAGCTATATTTAAGTCTGTCTTGAAACTCACCACTTAAAACTAGCCTTTGTTGTTTACCTTACGGGCGAACACAGGTCATCCAAACACACAATTTGGACGAATTGTGGCTGAACATTTTGACCTCCATATCAGTGGCAAACTGCCCTTTCCACCAACACGTAAATTAGGCACCAAGGGTCCGATCGTGACGAGCAAGTGGATCTGGGAGATCACCCCCAAAAATCCAGGTAGAGAGATCGATGCTCGGGAGACAAGGGGCAGTAGTTTGGGACAGGCAGGCGACTGATGCGCATGGTTAAGGGCCTTTAAATTTGTTGCGAATTCTTCGGGGCTAATTATTCCACTACTGGGTGTGCATATGTCTATAGGGCAGCGGTCAGATAATTGTGATGTTGTGCGCCGTTTGGGGATTAACGGTTTATTTGACGCAGGTAGAAATATGACAGGGTGCTTCAAAGAAAGTTGAACACTTATACGGGACTATCGTTTTAAATGGCAAAAGAACGGATAATATACTGTAACGTGATAACAAATGTAATGTTAACGGCTTCAGCAAGGTCAAAGAGTCCCCAATTGTTCACCATCGTTGTCAACACGTGCCTGGAATCTTCTCTAGGTGGTCTCCAAAGCACTGGAGGCAGCACATGTCACGTGGTATTGTCAGCAAATTCTCAGAAGTGTTACAAAACTATTTGGAAGCGCCCTGTATTTCAGCCGTCTGAGTCGTTGTTTGGCATAGTTAGCATACTCCGTACATTGGAGGTGTGGGGTCCCGTATTTAACGGTGTGGGTTGAGGTTTGTAAGAGGTGGGTTGTGGCTCATTGGGTGTGTGTGTGGGGGGGGGGGGGGGTTAATAGGATTTTGTGTTTTTCGTGGTTTAGCGGTAATTAATTGAAGGTGGAGGAGTTACCAGCCCCTCGCACCCATCCAGAGCCCTCTTTGGCCGCTGTGGTGGCTATACGAGGTTGTTGTGTTGTTGGGTTAATAGGTTTTATGATTTCACTGCAATTTGAGGGTAATGTGTGTGGGGCGGGGAGGGGGGTCAATGGTGGCGATACAGGCTCATGGCGGTCATGGCAAATGAGTCAGGAGCCAGGGCCTTTGTCAAGTTACGGGCATCACGGGGCCATTTCTCATGGTGGAGGGGAGGAGTGAGAATTCAGGGCATGGGGGCAGAGGTCGATGACGGGGTCAGGTTCATGATCCCGGGGGCCGGCGCAGAGGTGCGAAGGTTTGGGTTTTGTGAGTTTCGAAAGCATTTCGGGAAGGCACAAAAAACGATTATATCAGGGCGGAGGGGCATCATGGTTTCAGGGCCCGAGGACAAGTTCTTCTTGGACTTGGTGGTTCGGAGAAAAGGAAGGAAGGAAGGAAGGAGTGAGGGTGGAGGAAGGAGGAGGAGGAAGGAAGGAAGGAGGTGCGAGGTATTGATGTCATTGGTATATTTGTCATTTTCGAAGACGTGGGGGGGGGGGGGGAGAGAAACACAAACGAAACACGCAGAGCACACAAATGCACGTCAACACGTGGCTAAGAGGCGAAAGGGGCAGCTCACCGTCTTCTGCAGTCAGCCCAGAGAAGGGGAGTGGGGAGGGAACGGAGAGGGCAATGCAAGACAACTCGTGGGAACGTCAACGCAGAGAGAGAGAGAGAGAGCAACAGACGCACGAGGCTGCACGCGGTCTGGGAACCACGTGGGTGTACACGCCCCCTTGCCACGCCCCCCGTTCATCACAATGGGGTTCAACTCCGGCGACACTATTGCCCCTCCCCCACCACGACTCCACCCCCCACGCAGCAGGTTCAACAACAACAACAACAACCGCCATTCGCCACTAAGTGGCGGTGACGTCACCACGACGCTTGTGCCAGGCCATGTGCAACTTGAGGCCACGTGAATTGTCGAACGCCCGCTGGCAGGAGGTCACGGGGCAGACCCAGGTGCCACGGGTCGACTGACTGAGATGACCGAGATGACTGGCTGGTGCACCACCTGTGCCTCCTACTGTGCCAAATTGCTGTGCTTTAGTCACCCGGCGCTCCGCTCGTTGTTGTGAGCGTCGCTCCTCCGCCCTCCGTTGTTGTTGGAGGGCGATTGCCTCCAACTGCCCAGCAGCGTCCTTCACGAGCCTCCTCCACAGAGGCCGATCTTGACACCGCTGGTACCGGTCATCGGCAAATCCACTCAACTCCACATCCGTCTGTACCACGTCACTCCATCTCTTCTCTAGCCCGTGCCGTGCCCGTTTAGCCCCCTCGATCCGGCCGAACAAAAGCTGTTCACCCTCCATCCCACCGACACTCCACCAACCTTAACCCTACCCTACCGACCCCCAACTATTACTCGATCCCACCCCCCACTTTCCCTCGACCCCACCTACCCACCCCCCCCCCCCCCACCTTACATCGACCACCACCAACTCCCCACCTTCCCTCGACCCCTCGCTCTAGAGTAGACGGCTACACCTTGTTCTAGAGTCGACGGCTACCCTAGAGCAGACAGCAACCCCTTGTTCTCAGACGGAGCGAGGTTCGTGGGAGACATCGGGGAACATTTGTTGAGTTCCATCAGCAAGCCCGTTCGGCCTTCCAGAACAAATAGCACCATCATCATCATCCTCATCATCCAGCCAGGGTGTGGTTGACAACATTCTGGACAGAGCTCCCAACAAACATGGGCCAACGTTGAACCAACGTTGGACCAACGTTGGCCGGCGTTGGCATGTGTGCCACTCATCCCAACCTCCTCAACCCTCCACACGTGACCCACCCATCCCATCCTCCTCCATCCTCCACACGTGACCCACCCATCCCAACCTCCTCAACCCTCCACACGTGACCCACCCATCCCATCCTCCTCAACCCTCCACACGTGACCCACCCATCCCATCCTCCTCAACCCTCCACACGTGACCCACCCATCCCAACCTCCTCCACCCTCCACACGTGACCCACCCATCCCATCCTCCACCCTCCACACGTGACCCACCCATCCCATCCTCCAACCTCCACACGTGACCCACCCATCCCATCCTCCTCCACCCTCCACACGTGACCCACCCATCCCAACCTCCTCCACCCACCACACGTGACCCACCCATCCCAACCTCCTCCACCCTCCACACGTGACCCACCCATCCCAACCTCCTCAACCCTCCACACGTGACCCACCCATCCCATCCTCCTCAACCCTCCACACGTGACCCACCCATCCCAACCTCCTCCACCCTCCACACGTGACCCAGCCATCCCATCCTCCTCAACCCTCCACACGTGACCCACCCATCCCAACCTCCTCAACCCTCCACACGTGACCCACCCATCCCATCCTCCTCCATCCTCCACACGTGACCCACCCATCCCATCCTCCTCCATCCTCCACACGTGACCCACCCATCCCATCCTCCTCCACCCACCACACGTGACCCACCCATCCAAACCTCCTCCAACCTCCACACGTGACCCACCCATCCCATCCTCCTCCATCCTCCACACGTGACCCACCCATCCCATCCTCCTCCACCCTCCACACGTGACCCACCCATCCCAACCTCCTCCACCCTCCACACGTGACCCACCCATCCCAACCTCCTCCACCCTCCACACGTGACCCACCCATCCCATCCTCCTCCACCCTCCACACGTGACCCACCCATCCCAACCTCCTCCACCCTCCACACGTGACCCACCCATCCCAACCTCCTCCACCCTCCACATGTGACCCACCCATCCCATCCTCCTCCACCCTCCACACGTGACCCACCCATACCAAACCTCCTCCAACCTCCACACGTGACCCACCCATCCCATCCTCCTCCAACCTCCACACGTGACCCACCCATCCCATCCTCCTCCACCCTCCACACGTGACGCACCCATCCCATCCTCCTCCACCCTCCACACGTGACCCACCCATCCCATCCTCCTCCACCCTCCACACGTGACCCACCCATCCCATCCTCCTCCATCCTCCACACGTGACCCACCCATCCCAACCTCCTCAACCCTCCACACGTGACCCACCCATCCCAACCTCCTCAACCCTCCACACGTGACCCACCCATACCAAACCTCCTCCACCCTCCACACGTGACCCACCCATCCTCCTCCACCCTCCACACGTGACCCACCCATCCCAACCTCCTCAACCCTCCACACGTGACCCACCCATCCCAACCTCCTCCACCCTCCACACGTGACCCACCCATCCCAACCTCCTCAACCCTCCACACGTGACCCACCCATCCCAACCTCCTCCACCCTCCACACGTGACCCACCCATCCCATCCTCCTCCACCCTCCACACGTGACCCACCCATGGTGGTGGTTGTTCATCTTGAACCCGCCTGATGCCCCCACTTCGTGGCCAGCGCTGCTACTGCAGTAGAGGGAGGCCAAGCAACCCCCTCGCTCCTCCAAACACCACCACCACAACCACCAACACCACCACCATCAACACCACCACCACCATCACCACCACCACAACCACCAACACCACCATCACCACCATCACCACCAACATCACCATCACCATCAACACTACCACCAACATCACCATCAACACAACCACCAACATCACCACCACCATCACCAACACCATCACCACCAACACCACCACCATCACCACCAACACCACCACCAACACCATCAACACCACCATCACCACCACCACCAACACAACCACCAACATCACCACCACCTCACGCTCAACTCATTACATGAGCCAAGGGCGGGGTTACCTGGGCAGTAGGTGGGGCTACCTTGGCAGTGGGCGGGGCTACCGCTATTAGTAGGCGGGGGCTACCCGATCAGTGGACGGGGGCAACCTGGGCAGTGGGGGTTGGTTACCTGGGCAGTGGGCGGGGCTATCTAAGCAGTGGGCGGCCATATCTGGGCAATGGGCAGGGTTATCGCGGTAGTGGGCGGGGCTACCTGGTTAGTGGGCGGGGCTATTTAGGCAGTGGGCGGGGGGCTGTCGCAGTAGCGGGCGGGGCTTCCTCGTTAGTGTGCGGGGGGGGGGCTACCTGTTGGGAGGGGTTGGGGAGGAGTTGGGGGGCTGGGGGGTTGGGGGGGGGGCTGGAGGGTTGGGGGGGGCTGGGGGGGGGTTGGTGGCAACAACCTAAGAAAAGGCAAAGGTCCCCCGTGTAGCCTTCACAGACTGTTGGGGCGAGGGTGTGGATGGCCGGCAACCACGCCCGGCCGCCTTTGTATCCCTCCGGCGGCGACGTCTTCTTCTTTAGCACACCACCACCACAATCACGAGGCACTCATTCGAGGCCGAGTCGACCTAAAAGGAGTGCCGCCGGGTTCCGAACCCCGTCACAGCGGCGGCGCTAACCGCGGCGCCACCGCTCCTCCGAACTAAGCAAACGAAGCTCGCGAGAATCACGAAACCAACTCCTGGCCACGCTGTGAGGTCGGCCGCTTGGTCCGTGTCCTCGCCTGGTGGAGGAGGTTTTGGTAGAGGAGGTAGTGGTGGAAAAGGTTCGAGCGGGTGGTGGAGCAGGTGGACATTTGAACGTTCTGAATGTGGAGCAAACCCCCCACAACAACCCCACCCTGACCCCCACCCCTAACCCCACACCAAAGACAAAGATCCCCCCCGTGTAGCCCTAACAGACTGTAGGGGCAAGTGCTGCTAGCGAATAGCGAGGAGCACCCTATGAAGGCCGGAACGGCACACGAGGGGGTGGGGTCGCCAGCACCACGCCCGACCGCCTTTGTCTCCCGACATGCGGCGATGTTTTACTACACGCACAGCACCAGGTAACTAATTTGAGGCTGGGTCGACCTAGGGGAGGCCCAGGACCGGTCACAGATGAACGTCCACCTGGTGTTGTCGACCGTGAGCGGAGAATCGAACCCGGGTCGCCGGGTTCGTAGCGCTAACCGCTACACCACCGCTCCCCACCACCACCACCACCGCCACCACCACCGCCACCACCACCCCGAGGACGCTCACCTTGATCTCCTCCTCTTCCAGGAGCTTCTCGAGCCGCTTCTGCACGGCGCGGCCCTCGTGGTCGTCGCTGACGATGAGAACGATGTGGCCCCACTTGAAGTGCTCGATGAGATCGAACCACACCAGGGCCTGGTGCGAGTATGGCGGTACCGTGCGCAGGTAGGACAGGTGGATACTCTGCGGCACAGCGGCACGGGGGGGAGTGGTGGTGGAGGAGGAGGAGGAGGAGGAGGAGGAGGAGGAGAAGGAGGGGGAGGAGATGGTGATGGTGGTGATGGTGATGATAGAGGGGAGATGCAGGAGGAGGAGGAGTGGAGGAGGATGAAGAGTGGTTGTCAGTGTGGTAATGCGCCACTCCCACCACCACTACTACCACCACCACCACTACTACCACCACCACCACCCTCACCACCACGCCCACCACCGCCACCACCAGCACCCCCACCACCATCATCACCACCACCACCACCCCCACAGCCACCATCACCACCCCCACTACCACCCCCACCACGACAACCACCACCACCACCCTCACCACCACCCCCACCACCACCACCACCGCCACCACCACCACCCCCACCACCGTCACCACCACCACCGTCACCACCACCACCCCCACCACCGTCGCCACCACCACCACCGTCACCACCACGTCGCACCTTGTCCGAGTAGATGGAGAGGCGGTTGCTGAGTCCAATCACGGGGATGCGATAGAACCCAGCGGTGTAGGACACGGGGGTCGGGTTCATGTGTTCGTGCGGGTGAGGCGGGTGGCTCACCAGGATCGCGTGAACCTTTTCGCGTGGACAACGCAGAGAGGGGGAGAGGTAGGGAGAGCGGGCGGAAACGAACGTCGTTCACTTTGAACGCCGGCAAGGGCGGAGGGGATCACGGAAGGGCTTTGATGGGGTCAGGCAAGGGCCGTAGCCATGGAGCCAACATTGGTGGGGGATGAAATCTTCCAGGGGGTCTGGGGGGGGGGGTGTCCCCCTCCCGCCCCCCCCCAGAAAAAAATTGAAATTTGAAAACGAAATTCCTTACTCTTTGGTTCTATTCGGTAAAGTCAAGTAGGTGACTTTACCGAATAGAACCAAAGAGTATGGATCCTTGCAGTCACGAAAGCTTTAAATCTAGAACGAATTTCCTGCCTAAAATATTTAAAAATTTCACTAACACATAAGATGGACTTTTTAAAATTTATTTTTTTACAATAATGTCTAATAGTGTTATTGTATTACATTGCTCTGGTTTTTTTTCACCTTTTCTTGTTTCATTGTATGTAAATGGAAGAGATTAGGGATTAATAGAGTACAACCACAGCCACAATCGTATTAACGGAAATCTATGCGTTGATTTATATGAAGACAAGTCCATTTATTGTGGCCAAGGTCGAGCAAATTGTTGTTTTTAATTTCCATAACATCGCGATAATTTTTTTTTTTATAGCAATATATTGGGGGGACATTTTGAGCATATTTGAATTTACTTAGAATGTTTTAGTGATGTGCTTAACTCCGATCGTGTCTTATTTGTGATTGTGTTTGTTGTTGTTGTTGTTATAACGTTCTGACCCTTACTGGACGTCAGTGGAAAAGAGCTTCATAGCTCATCGGATTCCTCCTGCAGTTGTAAAAACTCTGATTCTGGTAGGGTTGTGTGAGAGTGTGAGCGGTAGAGTTGTCAGGGACTTCAGACTAATAATCTTCATTTATCCTCGAGGAGGGAGGAGGAGAGAGGAGGAGGAGGAGGAGGGGAAGGAGGAGGGGGATGAGGGGGAAGGGAGGGAGGGAGGGAGGAGGAGGAGCAGTGAGGGAGGAGGAAGAGGAGGAGGGGGGAGGGAGGGAAGGGAGGGAGGGAGGGAGGAAGAGAGGGAGGGAAGGAGGAGGAGGAGGAGGAGGGAAAGTGGAGGCAGTGAGAGGGAGGAGGAATCCGAAGAGCTATCAAGCTCTTCATCGCAGACGTCCATTTCGTGCGGTGTTGGCGATGTCATTCCCTTTGCGCAGGGCGATCGTCACCACACTGGAATGCGCTGCTGCTGCTGCTGTGTGGGCTAGCCTAGAGGCACCCCCAGTGGCAGCTGTCCCCGTGTGGCACAAGGCAATCATCATCATCACCACACTGGAATGCGCTGCTGCTGCTGCTGTGTGGCCTAGCCTAGGGGCACCCCCAGTGGCAGCTGTCCCGTGTGGAACAAGGCAGTCATCATCATCATCACAACACTGGAATGCGCTGCTGCTGCTATGTGGGCTAGCCTAGAGGCACCCCCAGTGGCAGCTGTCCCCGTGTGAAACAAGGCAGTCATCATCAGCATCATCACCACACTGGAATGCGCTGCTGCTGCTGTATGGCCTAGCCTAGGGGCACCCCCAGTGGCAGCTGTCCCCGTGTGGCACAAGGCAATCATCATCATCATCACCACACTGGAATGCGCTGCTGCTGCTGCTGTGTGGCCTAGCCTGGGGCACCCCCAGTGGCAGCTGTCCCCGTGTGGCACAAGGCAATCATCATCAGCACGTAGGAAGGCCCGGTGGTGGCTGCTGCTGCTGCTGTTTTACAGACACAGTACTGGACCAGGATCGGACCCTTGACCGGTTCGGATAATCGTCACTGGTGGTGTTGGTGGCCGTGAGCGGCAATGGAACTCGGGGCCGCCGGGTTCGTAGCGCAGCGTGGCGCTAACCACTGCACCACCGCTCCCCATACATACAGGCAAAGACAAAGATCCCCCGTATAGCCTTAATAGACTTGTAGGGGCAAGTGCTGCTAGCGAGCACCTTTAAAGGCCGGCACGGCACACGAGGGGGTGGGTGGCCAGCACCACGCCCGGACGCCTTTGTCTCCCTCGTGGCGATGTTTACTACACACCGCACCAGGTACTCATTTGAGGCTGAATCGACCTAGGGGAGGAGGCCCAGGATCGGTTCAGAGAATCCTCGCCGGTCTTGGCCGTGAGCGGGCATTCAAACTCGGGTCGCCGGGTTCGTAGCGTGGCGCGCTGACCGCTACACTACCGCTCCCCCCCCACACACACACACAGACAAAGACACACACACAGACAGAGAAACACAGAGAGAGACACACACAGACACACACCCACAGACAGAGACACACACACAGACAGAGACACACAGACAGAGACACAGACAGAGACACACACGTGCATACACAATTGCGTCTTCCCCCCACACACACACACAGATACACACACACACAGACACACAGACACACAGACAGAGACACACACACAGACAGAGACACACACACAGACAGAGACACACACACAGACACACACAGACAGAGACACACATACAGACACACACAGACAAAGACACACACACGTGCATACACACAGACAGAGAGACACACACACACATACAGATACACAGACAGAGACACACACACAGACAGAGACACACATGCATACACACGTGCATACACACAGACAGAGACACACACACAGAGACACACACTCACAGACAGAGACACACACACAGAGACACACACACACAGACAGAGACACACGCATACACACACACGTGCATACACACAGACAGAGACACACACACAGAGACACACACACACAGAGACACACACACAGACAGAGACACACACATACACACACACGTGCATACACACAGACAGAGACACACACAGAGACACACACTCACAGACAGAGACACACACACACAGAGACACACACATAGAGACGCATACACACAGACAGAGATACACGCATACACACACACACGTGCATACACACAGACAGAGACACAGACATAGACACACACACAGACAGAGACACACGCATACACACACACACGTGCATACACAATTGCGTCTTCCCCCCCACACACAGACACAAAGCGAGACCCAGCCTCTCTCTCTCTCCCTTCCCTCCATCTGTGAGACGTGACCTGACTGCCTAAAGCAGGCATCCGTTGACAGTACAGACCGCCCCCCCGCTCCCCAAATCTTCTCCAGACGCTCAATAAAACGAAAAGGGTGGATGGGAGAGTGGGTGGGTGGATGCGAAAGTGGAAGGGTGAGTGGGTGGGAGAGTGGGTGGGAGAGTGGGTGGGTGGGTGGGAGAGTGGGTGGGTGGGTGGGAGAGTGGGTGGGTGGGTGGGAGAGTTGGTGGGTGGGAGGGTGGGAGAGTGGGTGGGAGGGTGGGTGGGAGGGTGGGAGAGTGGGTGGGAGGTTGGGAGAGTTGGTGGGTGGGTGAAAGGTAGGGTGAGTGCGTGGGTGAGTGCGTGGGTGGGTGGGTGAGTGGGTGGGAGAGTTGGTGGATGGGTGAAAGGTAGGGTGAGTGCGTGGATGGGTGAAAGGTAGGGTGAGTGCGTGGATGGGTGAAAGGTAGGGTGAGTGCGTGGGTGAGTGCGTGGGCGAGTGCGTGGGTGGGTGGGTGGGTGAGTGGGTGGGAGAGTTGGTGGGTGGGTGAAAGGTAGGGTGAGTGCGTGGATGGGTGAAAGGTAGGGTGAGTGCGTGGGTGGGTGAAAGGTAGGGTGAGTGCGTGGGTGGGTGGGTGAGTGCGTGGGTGGGTGGGTGAGTGGATGGCTCAGGTAGCTGTCTGGTCGCGTGGTTTGGTGACTGGACGACGTTAACGAGCGGCGATGACGATGACGATGACTATTATTGCATGCAGTCCCCGACTTACGAACCCTTCACGCAAACGAACGAGCTTCACGATAGTTATTTTTAACCATGACGACGACGATGGTGACGACGATGATGACGATGATGACGATGACGACAAAGACGATGACGACAACGACGATCGTGACGATGGTCATGATGACGATGATGACGACAGCGATGATGATAACGACAATGACGATGATGACGACGACGACAATGGTGACGACAACGATGACGACGACAACGACAACGACGACGCCGACCACGACGACAACGACAACGATGACGACGACAACAATGATGACGACGACAACGATGACGATGACGACGACGCCGACGACGACAACGATGATGACGATGGTCACGATGACGATGACAACGACAATGACGACGATGACGACTACAGCGATGATGATAACGACAATGACGATGATGACGACGACAACGATGACGATGACGCCGAGGACGCCGACGACGACAACGATGATGACGACGGTCACGATGACAATGACAACGACAATGACGACGACGACAACGATGACGATGATGACGACGGTCACGATAACGATGACAACGACAATGACAACAACGACACCGCCGACGCCGCCCCCCTCTCGCCTGCTTGCTGATCAGCTCCTCGCACACGGCCAGCGCCATCTTGATGGCGTTGTCCCTCTGCGTCACGGCCGTCGCGTTCAGCTGGATCCGCCACAGGCCCAGCCGCCGGTTGGCGGCCCACACGGCCTCCCGGAAGATGGCCTCGTGCGCCGACGAGCTAAGCACGGCGCCCAGCTGGACGATTCTCCCGGGCGCCTCCTGGGCGTCCGCGGCACCCCCGAACCCGCCCAGGGGGCGGGCCGGACCCCCGGCCAGCAAGACGACGGTTAGCGCGGCGAGCGCCATCGCCGGAGCCATCCCGGTCGGGTCGGCGGCTCGGTGGGGGCGCTCGCTGGCCGTGAATGAGCACCCGCGGCCCTGACTATACCCACCGCTGCCACCGCCGCCACCACCACCACCCCTCGCCTGCTCCTCCTCCTCCTGCTCCGCCGCCGCAGTGAACCTGGCAGAGGCGGGCGGTGGTGGTGGAGGTAGCAGCGGTGACCGCGGTGTGCAGAAATGTACAGCGGCGGAGGGAAAGACATCGGCTTAAAGCTTTCGTGACCGCGGGAATTCATATCCTTTGGGTCTTTCGGAAAGAAAAAAACCGTCGATAGGTTCAAAGAAAATAACCAAAAATAACGAAAAGCTATTTGTAGTGGGTTTTTGTTTTTTGTTAACAAAAAAAATCTACGGGTGTTTTTTGTTGTTGTTGTTATCTTTTGTTCTTTTACTTGAACCCATCGACGTGGCTTTACCGAAAGGCCCAAAGAAAACGGAAGACCGTCCACCGTGCAGCCTTCAGCAGACTGTCGGGGCAAGTGGCGGTGAGCAGCGAGGGACGGCAGCAGAAGCGCCCACGAAAGCCGGCACTGTGGCACACGAGGTGGGGTGTGGGGGGGAGTGGGTGGCCAGCACCACACACACCCGGCCGCCTTTGTTTCATTTGTAGCGATATTTATAGCACCAGGTACTCGTTTGGCACCTACATCTGCAGAACGTGAAGAACCGGTGGCATCTGCATCTACAGAACGTGAAGAACCAGTGGAATCAGCATCTGCAGAATGTGAAGAACCAGTGGCATCTACATCTGCAGAACATGAAGAACCAGTGGCATCTGCAGAACATGAAGAACCAGTGGCATCTACATCTGCAGAACATGAAGAACCAGTGGCATCTGCAGAACATGAAGAACCAGTGGCATCTACATCTGCAGAACGTGAAGAACCAGTGGAATCAGCATCTGCAGAATGTGAAGAACCAGTGGCATCTAATGTGCAGAACGTGAAGAACCAGTGGCATATATATCTGTAGAATACGAAGAACCAGTGGCATTTACATCTGCAGAACGTGAAGAACCAGTGTCATCTACATCTGCAGAACGTGAAGAACCAGTGGCATCTACATCTGCAGAACGTGAAGAATCAGTGGCATCTACATCTGTAGAACGTGAAGAACCAGTGTCATCTACATCTGCAGAACGTGAAGAACCAGTGGCATCTACATCTGGTGGTGTCGGGTAGTGTCGGGTTTTACGACGCAGATGCCACTGGTTCTTCATATATAACCCAGACAACAGCAACAACAAACCCTGCACCACGTACCGCTGGTTGCTTTTGGTATGCGGCGGTGTCACGCGCAGCACCCCGCGCTCGTTCCAAGGCGTCTTTTGCCCCCCAGCGCGGAACGTCGGCACGGTAGGGTCCTTCCTCAGCCGGGAGTACCTGGGCATTCGCAGACGTCGGAGATGGTGGTGGGGGGAGGGGGAAGTTGGGGGGGAGGTGGGTAGGTGGGGGGAGCGGGGTGATGGGAGGGGTAGGTGGGGGGAGGGGGTAGATGGGGGGGAGGGTGGTGTTGGGGGTGGTAGGTGGAGAGAGGGGAAGAGAGGGGGGGGAGGTGGGGGGAGGGGGGTAGGTGGGGGCGAGGGTGGTGGTGGGGGGGGGGTAGGTGGGGGGTAGGTGGAGGGGTAGGTGGGGGGGGGGGAGGTGGTGGGGGGGGGTAGGGGGGGGTAGGTGGGGGGGTAGGTGGGGGGGAGGGTGGTGGTGGGGGGGTAGTTACCGGACCGGTCACTCCTCGCTCCGGGTGAGAAGGCCGCTCGCTATTGGACGAACGGGGGGGGGGGGGGGGGGGTACTGCATGCACCTAGCCTGGTTTGGATGGACGTGGCGCCCGGGTATGGGAGTGTGTGTGTCTGTGTGTGTCTCTGTGAGTGTGTGTCCGTGTGTGTGTCTGTGTGTGTGTCTGTGTCTATCTCCCTGTGTCTCACCGTCTCTCGCCCGTGTGTGTGTGTCTCTGTGTCTCGTCCGTGCATGCGTATCTTTGTCTCTCCCCGTCTCTGTGGCTGCGTCTCTCCCCAACCCCTCTCGTTATACTCTCCCCTCTATCTCATATTTACTCTCTCCCCGCTCTCTCTCTCTCTCCCCGCTCTCTCTCTCCCCACTCTCTCCCACGCTCTTTCTCTCGATCCTCTCCCCGCTCTCTCTCCCCGCTCTCTGTCCCTCTCCTCGCTCTCTGTCTCTCGATCCTCTCCCCGCTCTCTGTCTCTCCTTGCTCTCTCGATCCTCTCCCCCCGCTCTCGATCCTCTCCCCACTCTCTCTCCCCACTCTCTCCCCGCTCTTTCTCTCGATCCGCTCCCCGCTCTCCCTCTCTCTCCCCGCTCTCCCTCTCCCCGCTCTCTCTCCGCTCTCTCGATCCTCTCCCCGCTCTCTCTCCCCACTCCCTCCCCGCTCTTTCTCTCGATCCGCTCCCCGCTCTCCCTCTCTCTCCCCGCTCTCCCTCTCCCCGCTCTCTCTCCGCTCTCTCGATCCTCTCCCCACTCTCTCCCCCCGCTCTCTCTCTCTCGATCCTCTCCCCGCTCTCTCTCCCCACTCTCTCCCCGCTCTCTCTCCCTCTCTCGATCCACTCCCCGTTCTTTCTCTCGATCCTCTCCCCGCTCTTTCTCTCTCGATCCACTCCTCGCTCTCTCTCCCCACTCTCTCCCCGCTCTCTCTCCCTCTCCTCGCTCTCTCTCTCTCCTTGCTCTCTCTCGATCCTCTCCCCGCTCTCTCTCTCCCCGCTCTCTCTCCCCGCTCTCTCTCCCTCTCCTCGCTCTCTCTCTCTCGATCCACTCCTCGCTCTCTCTCCCCACTCTCTCCCCGCTCTCTCTCCCTCTCCTCGCTCTCTCTCTCCTTGCTCTCTCTCGATCCTCTCCCCGCTCTCTCTCTCCCCGCTCTCTCCCCGCTCACTCTCCCTCTCCTCGCTCTCTCTCTCGATCCATCCCCGCTCTCCCTCTCTCCGCTCTCTCTCCGCTCTCTCGATCCTCTCCCTGTCTTACCTCTCCCTCCCCTCTCTCGCTGCGTGTCCTTGTTTTTTTCACGATCGGAGGAAACAAGAAGATCGTCGGTGTAGTCGGCACTTTGCTTCGTTCATCATTTCGGTTTTTTTTTGTAATGCTTTGCTTTATGTAAACCTCCCCCACCCCCCCTGTTTAAATGAAATATTCCATAATAGATTTCACGCTCTCGTGCATTAATCGCATTGATTACAACAACATTGTCGTCGTTGTTGCTGTTGTTGTTGTGGTCACATCGCACGGCTGTGATTGGAGCCGGCGGTGGCTTGGTTTTAAGGGAGGCGTTCATCCAACAGTGGATTGAACCTGGCTGATGATGATAATGGTGGTGGTGGTGGACGTGGTGTTGATTGCAGCGCTGCGCTCCTACGAACGCAGCCATCGACTCGAGTTCGATTCCCGCTCACGGTCCTGGGCCACCCCTAGGTCAACTCGGCCTCAAACGAGCCTGGCACAAGCGTCGTGGTGACGTCACCACCACTTAGTGGCGAATGGCGGTTGTTGTTGTATTTGTGTGTGCGTGTGTGTATATTTCTGTGTATTTGTTTGTGTGTGTACGTGTGTGTATTTGTGTGTGTGTATTTGTGTGTGTATTTTTGTGTGTGTGTATTTTTGTGTGTGTGTACGTGTGTGTATTTGTGTGTGTGTGTTTGTGTGTGTATGTGTGTGTTTGTGTGTGTATGTGTGTGTGTATGTATGTGTGTGTGTATGTGTGTGTGTATGTGTGTGTGTATGTGTGTGTGTATGTGTGTGTGTATGGGGAGCGGTGGTGCAGCGGTTAATGCGCCGCGCTCCGAACCCAGCGACCCGAGTTCGATTCCCGCTCACGGCCAGCCTCGATGGCGATTATCTGAACCGGTCCCGGGCATCCCCTAGGTCGACTCAGCCTCAAACGAGCACCCGCCGCTACGGTGTCGTAAACATCGCCACTGGGGGAAGACAAAGGCGGCCGGGCGTGGCGCTGTGCGGTCAACCCACCCCGATCCGGGCCTATTGAGGCCGCACGAGTGGACAATCTGTCTCGGTGCACGTCACGAAGAGCCCACGCCCGACCGCCTTTGTCTCCCCCAGCGCTACGAGTGACGGGAGGGGGGCCTCGTGCGTGGCGGCGCAACCCCCTCGCTCGCTCGCTTTTAAGGTCGAGTCGACCTTAAAGGCTGCCCAGGCGGTGACCTACCCCCACCCCCCTGGAGGTCACCCCGAGACCCCCCCCCCTCACCCCGAGACCCCCCCCTCTCACCCCGGGACCCCCCCCCCCTACCGGGACCCTCCCCCCACCCCAGGACCCCCCCCCCCCCACCCCGTGACGGCCCCGCCCCTCCCCCACGTCTCAAACTCTCAGCACCACGGACAGCGAGAAAACGCGCGCGTGACGTCGCAGGGAGAGGGGAGGCTTCGTGACGTCATGATTATACCCCCCCGCCGCCGCGTACGTCGTGACGTCACTATCTACCGCCCTCCTCTCCACCCTGACCCCTCCTCCCCGCCCCTCCCCCCTTCCTCCTTCCTCCCCTTCTTCTCCTTCCTTCCTCCCCCCTCCTCCCCACTTCACTACCTATGAGATCTTCACTCAAAACTGCTCTAGAGGAGTTGTACAACCCTAGCTGCCACTGCTATTCAGTGGCCTAAATTATGGCCCTAGATTTTGGTGTTATAATTTATTTATGTAGTTTATTGTAAAAAAATCGGTGACAGTCCCTATGATGACTGTTACATTGGATTTATGGCTTTTATTTTGGTGATTTCGAAAAGTTTTTTGTTTGTTTTGGCCATGTTTTTGTTTATTGTAGTACGGAGTTAGACTGATGGCTTTAATCTTAGTTGTCTTGTGGTTGTTGTTGTTGTTTGACTTGCATCCCACTGGGATTTTTGCACACAGCGTTGGTGCACGGTGCTATTTCAGGAATATTTTGATATTTTTTTCCTGTATTTTCTGTTTGCACAGTCACATAATCACTTTAAGATGTTTTCTTGTTCATGTTTTTTGTTTGTTGCGGTTACATCCGATTCAAGAGCCGAATGGCTCACAGGGCTATACCAAAATAAATTAAACTATGAACTATGAACTTCCCCCCCTCCCCTCCACCCTCCTCCCTCCTCCCTTCGCAACCTCCCTCCGCACGCCCCCACGCAGACCCCGCGTCTCGTGACGCCATCACGCTCGATTAACGCAACGCGTTTCGTGAGCGAGAACGTAAGGCGCGTTTCGTCATTGGTCGACCGTGGTGACGTCATGACGCACCGTGCAATTTCGTGGTGATGTCACTACGCACGGGGGGGAGGGGTAGGGGCGGTGGTGGTGGTGGGGGTTGGCGTGGTGCTCCCCCCTTACTCGCTAACAGCACTTGCCCCAAAAGTCCGTCAAGGCTATACGGGGGATCTTTGTCTTTACATGGACACAACAACAACCGCCGTTCACCAATCAGTGGCGGTGACGTCACGACGGCGCTTGTGCCAGGCTAGGTGCACTTTGAGGCTATCGCGTGAACTTTGTCGAAAGCTCTCTGCTGACAGGAGGTCACGTGACAGACCCAGCAGGTGCCACGGGTCCACTGACTCAGATGACTGACAGCAAGCCACCACCTGTGCCTCCCTGCTGTGCCAGGCTAGGTGCACTTTGAGGCTATCGCGTGAAATTTGTCCAAGGCTCTCTGCTGACAGGAGGTCACGTGACAGACCCAGCAGGTGCCACGGGTCCACTGACTCAGATGACTGACAACATGCCACTACCTGTGCCTCCCTGCTGTGCCAGGCTAGGTGCACTTTGAGGCTATCGCGTGAACTTTGTCGAAGGCTCTCTGCTGACAGGAGGTCACGTGACAGACCCAGCAGGTGCCACGGGTCCACTGACTCAGATGACTGACAACATGCCACCACCTGTGCCTCCCTGCTGAGCCAGGCTAGGTGCACTTTGAGGCTATCGCGTGAACTTTGTCGAAGGCTCTCTGCTGACAGGAGGTCACGTGACAGACCCAGCAGGTGCCACGGGTCCACTGACTCAGATGACAGCAAGCAACCACCTGTGCCCCCCCCCCCCCCCACCACTGTTCCAACTCGCTGCGCTTTATCCGCCCGGCGCTCCGCTCGTTGTTGTGAGCGTAGCTCCTCCGCCACCCTCCGCTGTCGCTGTAGTGGCGACTGCCTCCACCTGCCCAGCAGCAGCAGCAGCGTCCTTCACGAGCCTCCTCCTCCACCACAGAGGCCGATCTCGACACCGCTGTGTACCGCTCATCGGGATGCATGACCCAGCCAACGCAGCCTGAGACACGCAGACAACAAGACAAAGATCCCCCGTACAGCCTGAACAGACTGTAGGGGCAAATGCTGTTAGCGAGCAAGCGCCTATAAAGGCCGGCACGGCACACGAACGGGGTGGGTGGTCAGCACCGCGCACGGCCGCCTTTGTCTCTCCAGTGGCGATGTTTTTTTTACGCACCGCACCAGGTACTCATTTGAGGCTGAGTCGACCACGCTACAAACGTGGACGACGGCGGTGGGTAAGAGATGTGAACTACTCCGCCTGGAGGTCCTGGGTTCGATCCCGACCCTGACGATGCCTGCTGCTGTATATTTGGAGTCTGCGTCTCTCTCTCTCATCATCATCACGGTGGATATGAGATGTTGACTACCTCACCTGGTATACAGGAGGTCTATGTGGAGTCTGTGTGTCTCTCTCTCTCTCATCATCATCACGGTGGCTAGGAGATGTTAACTACCTCGCCTGGTATACAGGAGGTCTATGTGGAGTCTGTGTCTCTCTCATCACATCATCATCACGGTGGCTAGGAGATGTTAACTACCTCGCCTGGGGTACAGGAGGTCGTGGGTTCGATCCCGACTCTGACAGCTTCTGCTGCAACTGTATGTTTGGAGTTCGGGGTGTCTCTCTCATCATCATCACGGTGGCTAGGAGATGTTAACTACCTCGCCTGGGGTACAAGAAGTCGTGGGTTAGATCACGACCCTGACGATGCCTGCTGCTGTATATTTGGAGTCTGCGTCTCTCTCCCTCTCATCATCACGGTGGCTAGGAGATGTTAACTACCTCGCCTGGGGTACAAGAAGTC